AAAGAACAATAACTTTGTAATAGAGTACCAATATACGTGAGATGAAAAGGAGAGCTGAGATTAAGTGGCGTTTAGTTTATGTCTTTCGATCTATGGGAAGCAGCCTTTTCCTTCATGCAGAGGTGAGTACTGTAATTTGCTTTATTTACTCCTGCCGGAAGTTTCTAGTCCATGTGGTTTTGAAAAATTTTGTGCCAACAGGCCTTTGCATCTGCCTCCCCAGAAACACTCTTTATTGCATATTTGTTCTGATTTGCCCTCATGGTGCTCTCTGGGCGGTCATACCCAACCCCACTTTTAATACAGTTTGTGCCTGCAGAAGTTTTCAGATGGTCATATGATTCCCAAGCAGAGCACAACCTGTAACATGCTGCTGAAACCCTGTAACTTTTTATACCACAGCTTTTCCAGTTTACTTTTGTCCTGCTGCATGTGGAGAGCAATAACACGCTAGCGTTGGGGAAGCATCGCAGAACTGAGGGCTCGTCGACACTTCCGCTTGTCCGTTGCCTAGAAAGAGCAGTTTTCCCCAGGAGAAAGCAGCGGAGCAAGAGGAAGTGTGTACAAGCCCTAAAGCAGGATAAATCCATTACTAATTCACTGTTGGTGAGACATGGGTGGCGCTGTGGGTTAAACCACAGAGCCTAGGACTTGCTGATCAGAAGGTCGGCAGTTCGAATCCCCATGACGGGGTGAGCTCCCGTTGCTCGGTCCCAGCTCCTGCCAACCTAGCAGTTCGAAAGCACGTCAAAGTGCAAGTAGATAAATAGGTACTGCTCCGGTGGGAAGGTTTCCGTGCGCTGCTCTGGTTCGCCAGAAGCGGCTTAGTCATGCTGGCCACATGACCCGGAAGCTGTACACTCGGCCAATAAAGCGAGATGAGCGCCGCAACCCCAGAGTCGGTCACGACTGGACCTAATGGTCAGGGGTCCCTTTAATTCACTGTTACTGTGTCAATAAAATGTTGCAGAAGACACATGCAATAACACACCCATCTAGTAGTGTCCTCGGTTGGTTTTTCTTTCTGAGCTCCCCCACCCCACAACTTCCTTATACATTCCTTGTTTGAAGTTGCTCTATTCCTTGACTGTATTGTTTCCATTTGTCTTTTTCTGCACCTCTTTCAGTTCTACAGAACTGTGGAAGAGTCGGAAACCAGAGCAAAACACAGTTTTCAGTATTTATTATTATTGTTGAATTTGTATACTGCCCTTTATCCAAATATCCCAGGGCAGTTCACAACATAAGAACACAAAATGAGAATACAAAATATATAATAAACCAAAAACACCCACACACAAAAACACACATTTAAAAAGCCATAATAAAACCCAAAAAAGCCCATAGGAAGTCCATGGGTTGAAAGCTTGGCATATTAATCCATGTCATATTAAATCACTTTGAGGTGTTTTATAGGAAGTGATTCACTAATTAAATCATCACCATGCTCCTTTATTTTCAGTCCTTTTCCCAATAATTACTGGCACTGAATTGTTTTGTCTCTCTCTTTTTATTCCCCCCACCGCCAGCACTGACATAGCTCAGGGGCAGCTGCAGGCTGCACACTGGTCCTGAGGCTGTGTTGGGGAAACCTTGGCAGCCACAGTCCCATCCACCGCCAGCCCCAACATGTTAGCAGCTCGAGACCCTGTTGACCTGGTATGCCTCACTTGAGCCTTAGCCGGAACTTCCCTGCTCTACTGCTGCCTGATTAGGCAATTCTGGTTCGAGCTCTTCACTGAAGCCTGAGAGCTATGATGAGTCAGTTGCACTGTCATCCTCTACAACTCTGACTAGGCTTCAAGTGAGCACGCCTTGAGCCTGCCTATGAGTACAGCTGAGTAAGTAGTCTCTCACTGCACTCTGGAGGCTCTCTCGCATGCACATGCACACTTACGCACACACACACAATTTCATGTTTTAGAGTAGTCGATTTGAACAACTGTAAAATATCAATGACTTCCCCTGATTCTCCATCTCCTAATAGTGCCAATCCGTCTTCATATGAACGACAAATTTCACCATATATTCAATAAACATTTTCCAGTCTTCTTTAAACGTATGTGAGGGGGAAAACAAAACCCCACAGCTTTCTTGCCCCCATAAACTGTCAAATTGGGTTGCAGACAGCTAAGTTCTACTCAGAGTAGAGCCACTGAAATTCATCAGTGGGTCTACTTTGAGTAGGACTAGCAATACAGACAGTTGTCTCCCCTTGATCTCTTGGTTTTTATTAACCAGTAACATAATCCATAAGAACAGTGAATCTCAAACTGTGGTGTGCGGCTCACCAGTGATCCGCAAGCTTCATTCAGGTGCTCTGTGGGGTTGTTCGTATTAAATATGAATATTGCATAGATATAAATGAATATGGTATATGGTATATTGATATAGATATTGTATATGAATAATTGTACTTTTATTCTATGGAATGCAATTTGTAATACAACAAAATAGAACGCCAGAAATTAAAACAATGAAAATCCAATTAAAAATCACACAGCATCTACTACAGCACTTTACAATTTGTTACAACAAGCAGAAACATAATTAAGGGTCCACCCATACCTTGTTTAATGTGGAATGGGAACTGCTTGTGTGAACTGCAATTCCCCTACGTCCATGCATTATTCCCCAACTGTTGCTGTCCCACACTTTATCTTCCCTAAATCAATGCAGCTCTCGTACTTGGATTTTCAAAGCATAGGCAATATCCAGTTTTGAGGACGGGAAAGTGTTGGATAGCAGTAGCTGGAGGAGAATGCTCTCAGTAGAGCTGTGTGTGCATTTGTTAATGTTATTGTTGTGATTTATTCTGACCTTTAGCATTTCTCCGATGAAAATAGGGACGTCGTATTCAACAACAACAACAACAACAGTTTTACTATTTATATCCTGCTCATCTGACTGGGTTGACCAAGCCACTTCCAACATATATAAAAACATAATAAAACATTAAACATTTAAAAAACTTCCCTATATAGGACTGCCTTCAGATGTCTTCTAAATCGCCTCTCCCACTTTGTGGTTCTCGCTTGGATCCCTAGTATACTCTAGAGCAGAGTGGTCCAACACGTGGCCCTCAAGGCCTTTTTGGGCGGCCCTCAGCACCATATGCTGCCCACCACCTGCAGCCTTCGCACTGCCTTCCCAAAGCCGGATAAGTGAGTTGCTGGGCTTTGCAAAGGAGGAGCAAGGGCTCTGACAGGGTCTTAGGGTCCCCCTGCTTCCTTCCCAGAGCCCAATTAGTGCCTTTCCAGCTTTAGGAAGAAGGTGGGAAGGTTCTAGGATGCCGTCGGAGCATCGTGCCTCCTTCCCAAAGACCAGCCCTTGCTTCTCTGGCTTTGGGAAAGCAGCATGAGGGACCCCCTCAAATCTTGGCCTCGCTCCCCTGCCCTGCATGGCAAGGCAGTGTGCAGCTTGTGGGTTCTGTGTCGAAATTCTCTTGCGGCCCACTTGGTATGGAAGGTTGGACTGCCCTGCTCTAGAATCAAGGGTGAGGAAACAAGCTGGGAGATGATTCGAACATGCGTGGAGGAAAACTCTGTTGAATGAAATTGAACACTAGTGAGGGCTCATAGAATCATCAAATTGTAGAGTAGGACCCACAGGACCATCTATTAAAAACCAATAATTTTAAAAGTTGTGTGTCCTTGTTTCTCAATTTGATCCTTTCATATGGTTTTCGGGTCTTTCATGCATTATGAGTTGCCATTATTTTTATTGATTATAGTTTAGTAAATCTTTATTATACAGTGGTACCTCGGGTTACAAACACCTTGGGTTACAAACACTTTGGGTTACAGACTCCACTTACCCAGTAGTACCACCTCGGGTTAAGAACTTTACCTCAGGATGAAAACAGAAATCGCGCACAAGTGGGAGGCCCCATTAGCTAAAGTGGTACCTCAGGTTAAGAATGGTTTCAGGTTAAGAACGGACTTCTGGAACGAATTAAGTTTGTAACCAGAGGTACCACTGTAATTGTTAAGTGTAAACTGTTTAATTATTATTTCTGGTATTTAAGTTTGCCGTTTACGTATTGAAGATTGCTTTATTTGATGTAAGTTGTTTATTTTAAAGTTACGTTTTTATTATGGTTTCTTTGCATTGGATCAGATCGTTATTAGGTGTGCAATCTTTGCTATCTATTTTGTGGTTTCTTCAGCTTATAAACCGCCTTGTGCATAGCAATATAGAAAGGTGGCATGCAAATTAAAAGTGAAATGGAAATGAAATGAAATCTAGTTGAAGCCCCTGCAATGCAGGAATATGCAGCTGTCCCATATGGGAATCAAACCCACAACCTTGGCATGGTCAGCACCACACTCTAATCTTCTTTGACAATCACTCGTAGCCAAGTAAGATTGTCTTCCACAAAAAGAGTCTTAACAGTGAGTCTGTAAGAGACTGTGGAAGCCAATTCCTAGATCCACACGTCCTTCAACAGTGGAGACATAGGTTTCCGGGCGGGACTTGATCATGGTGAAGGTTTGCCATACATGCCTTCCTCTTAGCCCTGAGTTCATGCTTCTTCAAAGTCCACGGCACTTTTGGTAAGGGCTGTTCTCCAACTAGAGCGCTGTAACCTACTGAGTCATCAAGCCTACCTAGAGGCACTGAAGGCTGCCTCCATTGCATCCCCGTTGTGCTGTCCAGCACAGCTGTTCCGGGTATGGAGATGACAGCAGCCTTCTAAGTATAACTTGGACCAAAACTTTAGAGGCCGGAACTCAAGTGCCAGTCCCAGTATGGAAGTCCTACGAGAGGTGATGGACCCTCCTTCCTTGGTGGTTCTTAAGCAGAGGTTGGATGGCCATCTGTTGTGGATGCTTTAGTTGAGATTCCTGCACTGCAGGGAGTAGGACTAAATGATCCTCAGGGTCCCATCCAACTCTACAGCTCTATTATTCTTGGAGAAAGCACAATCTCCCAGCCAAATAACTATTGCTTCCATTTGCTGGTTGTCTGTGATTCATTAAGGTCTCCTTGATGTTACAGATAATGTACAGGGGAGCATCACGGGAAGAAGGCAACCAAAGCTACCAAGGAGAATTCATCTTACTGGGAGTGGCTGACCGCCCACGCTTGGAGATGCTGCTCTTTGCCATTATCCTGATCTGCTACGTGATGACCCTGTTGGGAAACATGACCATCATTGTGGTGTCACGACTGGACCCCCATCTCCACACCCCCATGTATTTCTTCCTCAGCAACCTCTCCTTCCTTGATCTTTGCTTCACCACCAGCCTCGGACCACAGATGCTGGTGAGCTTCTGGAGGAAAAACAAGTCCATCTCCTATGGCGGCTGTGTGGCTGAGATGTACATCTCCCTTGCTTTGGGCTCCACAGAATGTGTCCTTTTGGCTATTATGGCATATGACCGATATGCTGCAGTCTGCCATCCGCTGCGCTACACTACCATTATGAACCATTCTGTATGTTTTACAATGGCTGCCATCTCCTGGGTTAGTGGCTTCAGCAATTCACTAGTGCAGACGGTGTTGACATTTAGGATTCCACGATGCGGAGAGAACCGAATAGACCATTTTTTCTGTGAGGTGCCAGCCTTTATCAAATTGGCCTGTGGGGACACCTCACTCAATGAGGCTGTCCTCTTTTTTGCCAGTGTGGTCATCCTTCTGTTACCAGTGGGCCTGATCACTGTCTCTTATGCCTACATTGTAGCAGCTGTGTTAAGGATCCGCTCAGCTGAAGGCAGGCAGAAGGCCTTCAACACCTGTGCTTCCCACTTGATCGTGGTGTCGCTGTTTTATGGGACGGCCATTTTCAGTTACCTCCAGCCCCCGTCCAACTACTCCCGCGACCGGGGCAAGTTGGTCTCCCTTTTCTATACATTTGTCACCACCATGCTAAATCCACTAATCTACACCCTAAGGAACAAAGAGGTACACAAAGCTCTTGGAAGGGTAATGAAGAGACTCCCAATAGCTCCTAACTTTATTCAGCAGCTCAGTCTTATCTTTTAATAATAATAAAATCTCTCATTAATCATCTGTATGATTCCCCTTTCTGTGGAAATCTGTTGCTTTTCTTGGTCCTATATTAATGAATGTTTCTTTTGTGAATGTTTTATTGCTGCTATGATTACTGCAATCTTATGATGCTGTAATATTGTTTTATTGAAATTTACAGAATTTTTACAGAAATTTACAGAAAGGTGGGATGGAGATGTTGAAAATAAATAATTCTTTCTTTCTTTCTGTTCTGGCCCTTGCTTCTTGACAGAGTACTCCAATTCAGGTTTCTGTTTCTACCAAAATATTTTATTCACAGATTAGTATGATACATAGGCACCACAGCAGACAGGAGATGGTAGCGCTGCAGCAGGACATTTATCTGATATCTACCTCAAGCCCCCTTTTCTCTCTCTCCCAGAACGCCAGAACTGGTGGACCTCAAACGAAGCTGATTGTCGAAAGATAAAAGAAATTATTTCTCTTCAAAGCGCATATATAAATTTTGGTGCCTGCTCCCACAGGAGGCAGTGATGGCCACCAACCTATAAAGCCTTGTCCTCCATGCTTTCTCCAACCCACGTTTAAAGCTACCATTGGCTACTAGTCACGATGCCTATTTTCTACATCCTCTGTCAATACCAGTTTCTAGACGTTGCGGGAGGATAGAGTGCTCTTGTACTTGCTAGTTTTCCGCAGGCATCTGTGAGACGACTAGATGGGCCTCTGGCCTGATCCAGTAGGCTCTCATGTTCTTGATGTGCTCCTAAATTTTCTCTATATTGAATAGATATTTTTAGAGATTGCATTTCTGCTTATTGTCAAGAGGTTTTCACCCCACAGTACACCAAGGGGTGGGTATTCTCTAATTGCAGGTGGTAGGCCACCTTCTTCCATTTTTGACACTCTAGAATTTGTAGACCAATATTTTAGATTGCAGCATGGTTAAAAACATTTTCCATTAGGAAATGCTAAACCCCTTTTGGTCGAGCGTTTTTGCTGCTACTCTGGGCTTCTTACCTGCTCATAAAAAGTTGAATAGTTCTTCCCATTTTTTGAAGTAAAGTTTCGCTCACCTTCAGTGGTATATTTGACATCAGTAAATAGGATTTGTGTATGTTCATCTTTATTACTGAATTCCTAGCCATCCAAAAAGTTTCACATTTCCCCAATTGCTAGATGTTTACTTCTTTCTTTAATTTATTTGTTATGATTAAACATTACTACATATTCCAGATTGGTGGTGGATTTATACCTGGGCATCCGCACACATTTGATGTCTTGGAATGTTTCCCAATGATACTGCAGTATTGGCATCTAGAGGGCTGCTTGTGTGCTATAACACAACAAAAAACAGAAATCAAACCAGAAGCTTTACGATATAAAAAGTTACAAGATTTCAGCAGGAAACTACATGGCGTGCACTGAAATATGACATGCACAGAAACAAGCAGAATGTCTACCCCAAATATTTGCAGGTATAAACAGCATTGAAGGTGGGATCACAAAGATAAACAATAACCTGTCTGGATGGCCACTGTGAGAGAAGGATGCTGCGCTGGTCATTGCCATGATCTTCTTATGTCCTTATATATGCAATGTTATGCACAGTCTTTGAGCGGTGAGAGATTCCAGTGGTTCCTGCCTTAACCCAGACCTCCAGTTGAAGGTCAGCAGAGACTGGTATCTTTAGAATATATGGTTTTATTTACACATATATATAACCTGAGCACAGGATGGAGGAGCTCACAGCACTAACATCCCACTAGATCTTGCTTCCTCATTTAGTTTCCAGAGGAACCCCAAAGTTCAACACAGAGAGCAAAACATGTCTCTCTCTCCAGTTTACACAACCAGGGACGTCTTTACCATTGGGTGTAGTGGCGCAGCGAGCCAGGGCACTAAGCAGTGGACAGCACTAGGCGGAGAGTCCGGGGAGAGTCCAGGGAGGGGAGATTGGGGAGGTAAGCGAGGCGGAGCAGGGGCTTGGTGTCTGCATGCCTCCAGCACCCATCAGAGGCAGGAAGGCTCCAGATGGTTTCCCGCAGTCCGGAGCTCTCTCCGCTAGCTCCACGACACACCACCTCCTCGGCTGCGTGGTGTGTGCTTGCATCCCAAGCTCTGTGCATAATAAATGTGACTCTACCACCGCTCCCCTGTCCACTCTACCTCGAAAGATCCCCGCACTCGAGGTTACACGCTGCAACTGCTGCCCCCAGCGCCCCTCCCTCCTTCCCCTGCTTCTCCACCGCCTTGCATGGAGCCTGCCTCCTCCCGCTGCCCCCACCTTCACACTCCTTCACACTCCTGCACTCCTTCACACGAACCGCATTTCCTTCCCCTGCCCAATCCCCTCCCAGTCACACTCTCTCTCCCCCCCTTCCTCCCCAAGCAAGGATGGGGAGGCTGCAGCTGAGTGAGCGTGCTTCTCTGCTGTGACGACATGGATGGCCCAGCTCGCTTCGCCTGTCCCTGCCCGGACGAGACCCCCGCCTGCCTCCCATGCCATCCCCATCATGCCTGGCTGCCCAGCCCCGCACCATGATCCCGCCGCAGGAGCTGATGCCCGGTCGCACATGGGCAGCGCGGGGCAGTAGCGCGAGGGAGGGAGCAGCCTTTCCTTAAAAAAGGTCTACAACTCTGGGAAATGGGGGGGGGGGGGCACTGGAGTCAGATATGCTTAAGACGGCCCTGTACACAACTCAGGATGTTGTTCTTCTATGTACCACACAGGTGAGGTGGCAACAGGAAGGCAACTGCTATGTACTGAGTTGAATAGGATCTAAAAGGCAGCAGTCTGATTGGTCCTAGAACAATGCAGCAGTATGATTGGTCCGCATGAGCCACCCAATCCAGCTCCAGGTGGAAGTGAATCCGCAACCTGATTGGCCTACAGGAGAACCCCAGAATTAGCCAATCACATGCGGCCCATTGTGTAAATAATGTATATAAAGCAGATATTTTGGGGGAACTACTATGAGCTGAATAAAGAGCATGAAATCCACACTCGACTCCGAGTATATTTCAGCAACTCATTTGTTCCTAAGGCACAGAGTAACTTCTTTGGCTATTCTAAATCATAGTACTTGTTGTTGTTGTTGTTGTTTAGTCGTTTAGTCGTGTCCGACTCTTCGTGACCCCATGGACCAGAGCACACCAGGCACCTCTGTCCTCCACTGCCTCCCGCAGTTTGGTCAATCTCATGCTGGTAACCTCGAAAACACTATCCAACCATCTCGTCCTCTGTCGCCCCCTTCTCCTTGTGCCCTCCATCTTTCCCAACATCAGGGTCTTCTCCAGGGAGTCTTCTCTTCTCATGAGGTGGCCAAAGTACTGGAGCCTCAGCTTCACGATCTGTCCTTCCAGTGAGCACTCAGGGCTGATTTCCTTAAGAATGGATAGGTTTGATCTTCTTGCAGTCCATGGGACTCTCAAGAGTCTCCTCCAGCACCATAATTCAAAAGCATCAATTCTTCGGCGATCAGCCTTCTTTATGGTCCAGCTCTCACTTCCATACATCACTACTGGGAAAACCATAGCTTTAACTATACGGACCTTTGTTGGCAAGGTGATGTCTCTACTTCTCAAGATGCTGTCTAGGCCTGTCATTGCCCTTCTCCCAAGAAGCAGGCGTCTTTTAATTTCGTGGCTGCTGTCACCATCTGCAGTGATCATGGAGCCCAAGAAAGTAAAATCTCTCACTGCCTCCATTTCTTCCCTTCTATTTGCCAGGAGGTGATGGGACCAGTGGCCATGATCTTCGTTTTTTTGATGTTGAGCTCTCCTCTTTCACCCTCAATAAAAAGTTCTTTAATTCCTCCTCACTTTCTGCCATCAAGGTTGTGTCGTCTGCATATCTGAGGTTGTTGATATTTCTTCCAGCAATCTTAATTCCGGCTAGGGATTCATCCAGCCCAGCCTTTCGCATGATGAATTCTGCATATAAGTTAAATAAGCAGGGAGACAAAATACAGCCTTGTCGTACTCCTTTCCCAATTTTGAACCAATCAGTTGTTCCATATCCGGTTCTAACTGTAGCTTCTTGTCCCACATAGAGATTTCTCAGGAGACAAATGAGGTGATCAGGCACTCCCATTTCTTTAAGAACTTGCCATAGTTTGCCGTGGTCGACACAGTCAAAGGCTTTGCATAGTCAATGAAGCAGAAGTAGATGTCTTTCTGGAACTCTCTAGCTTTCTCCATAATCCAGCGCATGTTTGCAATTTGGTCTCTGGTTCCTCTGCCTCTTCTAAATCCAGCTTGCACTTCTGGGAGTTCTCGGTCCACATACTGCTTGAGCCTTCCTTGTAGAATTTTAAGCATAACCTTGCTAGCGTGTGAAATGAGTGCAATTGTGCGGTAGTTGGAGCATTCTTTGGCACTGCCCTTCTTTGGGATTGGGATGTAGACTGATCTTCTCCAATCTTCTGGCCACTGCTGAGTTTTCCAAACTTGCTGGCATATTGAGTGTAGCACCTTAACAGCATCATCTTTTAAAATTTTAAATAGTTCAGCTGGAATACCATCACTTCCACTGGCCTTGTTATTAGCAGTGCTTTCTAAGGCCCATTTGACTTCACTCTCCAGGATGTCTGGCTCAAGGTCAGCAACCACACTACCTGGGGTATACGAGACATCTATATCTTTCTGGTATAATTCCTCTGTGTATTCTTGCCACCTCTTCTTGATGTCTTCTGCTTCTGTTAGGTCCTTTCCACTTTTGTCCTTTATTATGGTAATCTTTGTACGAAATGTTCCTTTCATATCTCCAATTTTCTTGAACAGATCTCTGGTTCTTCCCATTCTATTGCTTTCCTCTATTTCTTTGCATTGCTCGTTTAAGAAGGTCTTCTTGTCTCTCCTTGCTATTCTTTGGAAATCTGCATTCAATTTCTTGTATCTTTCACTATCTCCCTCGCATTTTGCTTGCCTTCTCTCCCCCGCTATTTGTAAGGCCTCATTGGACAGCCACTTTGCTTTCTTGCATTTCCTTTTCATTGGGATGGTTTTCGTTGCTGCCTCCTGTATAATGTTGCGAGCCTCCATCCACAGTTCTTCAGGCACTCTGTCCACCAAATCTATATCCTTAAACCTGTTCCTCACTTCCACTGTGTATTCATAAGGGATTTGATTTAGATTGTATCTTACCGGCCCAGTGGTTTTTCCTACTTTTTTCAGTTTAAGCTTGAATTTTGCTATAAGAAGCTGATGATCTGAGCCACAGTCAGCTCCAGGTCTTGTTTTTGCTGACTGTATAGAGCTTCTCCATCTTTGGCTGCAGAGAATATAATCAATCTCATTTCGATGCTGCCCATCTGGTGATGTCCATGTGTAGAGTCGTCTCTTGTGTTGTTGGAAAAGCGTGTTTGTGATGACCAGCTTGTTCTCTTGGCAGAACTCTATTAGCCTTTGCCCTGCTTCGTTTTGATCTCCAAGGCCAAACTTGCCAGTTGTTCCTTTTATCTCTTGACTCCCTACTTTAGCATTCCAATCCCCTATAATGAGAAGAACATCCTTCTTTGGTGTCACTTCTATAAGGTGTTGTAAGTCTTCATAGAATTGGTCAATTTCAGTTTCTTCAGCACCAGTAGTTGGTGCATAAACTTGGATTACTGTGATGTTAAAAGGTCTGCCTTGGATTCGTATTGAGATCATTCTATCATTTTTGAGATTGCATCCCAGTACAGCTTTCGCCACTCTTTTGTTGACTATGAGGGCCACTCCATTTCTTTTACGGGTTTCTTGCCCACAGTAGTAGATATGATGGTCATCCGAACTGAATTCTCCCATTCCCGTCCATTTTAGTTCACTGATGCCCAGGATGTCAATATTAATTCTTGCCATCTCATTTTTGACCACCTCCAACTTACCCAGGTTCATGGTTCTTACATTCCAGGTTCCTATGCAATATTTTTCTTTACAGCATTGGACTTTCCTTTCACTTCCAGGCATATCCGCAACTGAGCGTCCTTTCGGCTTTGGCCCAGCTGCTTCATCAGCTCTGGATCTACTTGTACTTGCCCTCCGCACTTCCCCAGTAGCATGTTGGACGCCTTCCGACCTGAGGGGCTCATCTTCCAGCGTCATAACTTTTATATGCCTGTTGTCTTTGTCCATGGAGTTTTCTTGGCAGGGATACTGGAGTGGCTTGCCGGTTCCTCCTCCAGGTGGATCACGTTTGGTCAAAACTCTCCACTATGACCTGTCCATCTTGGGTGCCCTGCTTGGCATAGTTCATAGCTTCTCTGAGTTCTTCAAGCCACTTCACCACGGCAAGGCAGTGATCCATGAAGGGGAAATCATAGTACTTAGCAAGCCAAAACCATCACCTTGACAAAGGAACCGGTTTGGCAGGTTACTCCTTACCCATTGTACCTCACAGATACATCTTTTTCTTTCTCTCTTATTTGTTTATTTATTTCCATAATATTATTATCTTTATTTCTAATTAACCTGAGGACAAACTGCAGGACAAAAGGCAAAGTGCCCAGAAACCTCTCTCACCTGTGACTCTGTTTTGGCTTGGATAGACTTTGGTTGTCCAGGGGCTAGAGGTGAAGAGCTTTGGCAGAAGAGGCTTCACAGAAGATAGACAGAAAGCCAAGCATGGAGAAGCTGACAGATGTGGAGAAGTAGAAAGAGGCAGGCACATGAATAGATAGATAAAGATAGATATAGGGTGTTTGGGAAGAAAGGCTGACTAGATAATGCAATGAGAGAGATTCAGTGGGCAGGCAATAAGATCAGGGGAAAGGGAGCAGGAGAAAGATGAAGATAGGTCCAGCTACAGCAGTTAGCCTCAAAGATTAAAGAAAAGGGAGAAGGTGGACATTTCTTCTCCTCCCAACTCCTGCCGTGATCAGCTTGTCTATTTCAGCCCAGCATCTTTGCTATTCTGGTTCAGCATTGCATCCCAACTACATGTACCTAGAGACGTCCCACAGCTTAAGCCTACTTCTGAAGAGCGGGGGCTGGGGGAGATACTCGGTTTTCTTACTGAAAGAGGAAGGGGCATCTCTACCAGCCAGCACTACCATCTCCTGTCAGCTGTGGTGCCTATGTATCATAGTAATCTGTGAATAAAATATTTTGGTAGAAACAGAAACCTGAATTTGAGTACTCTGTCAAGAAGCAAGGGCCAGAACAGAAAGAAAGAAAGATTTATTTATTTTCAACATCTCCACCCCACCTTTCTATAACAATTTCATTAAAACAATATTACAGTATCATAAGATTGCAGAAATCATAACAGCAATAAAACATTCACAAAATAAACATTCATTAATATAGGACCTAGAAAAGCAACAAATTCCCACAGGAAGGGGAATCATACAGATGATTAGTGAGATATTTTTTTATTATTAAAAGATAAGACTGAACTGCTGAATAAAGTTAGGAGCTATTGGGATTAATTCCTCTTCAATACCCTTCCAAGAGCTTTGTGTACCTCTTTGTTCCTCAGGGTGTAGATTAGTGGATTTAGCATGGTGGTGACAAATGTATAGAAAAGGGAGACCATCTTTTCCTGGTCACGGGAGTAGCCGGATCGGGGCTGGAGGTAACTGAAAATAGCTGACCCGTAAAAGAGTGACACCACGATCAAGTGGGAAGCACAGGTGTTGAAGGCCTTCTGTCTGCCTTCAGCTGAGCGGATCTTTAACACAGCTGCCACAATGTAGGCATAAGAGAGGGTGATCAGGCCCACTGGTAACAGAAGGATGGCCACACTGGCAAAAAAGAGGACAGCCTCATTGAGTGAGGTGTCCCCACAGGCCAATTTGATAAAGGCTGGCACCTCACAGAAAAATGGTCTATTCGGTTCTCTCCGCATCGTGGAATCCTAAATGTCAACACCGTCTGCACTAGTGAATTGCTGAAGCCACTAACCCAGGAGATGGCAGCCATTGTGAAACATACAGAATGGTTCATAATGGTAGTGTAGCGCAGCGGATGGCAGACTGCAGCATATCGGTCCTGTGCCCTCAAAGCCCAAAGGACACATGCGGTGGAGCCCACAGCAAGGGAGATGTACAACTCAGCCACACAGCCGCCATAGGAGATGGACTTGTTTTTCCTCCAGAAGCTCACCAGCATCCGGGGTCCGAGGCTGGTAGTGTAACAGAGGTCAAGGATGGAAAGGTTGCAGAGGAAGAAATACATAGGGGTGTGGAGATGGGGGTCCAGCCGCGACACCACAATGATGGTCGTGTTTCCCAACAGGGTCATCACGTAGCAGGTCAGGATAATGGCAAAGAGCAGCATCTCCAAGCGTGGGCGGTCAGCCACTCCCAGTAAGATGAATTCTCCTTGGTAGCTTTGGTTGCCTTCTTCCCGTGATGCTCCCTGTACATCATCTGTAACATCAAGGAGACCTTAATGAATCAAAGACAACCAGCAAATGGAAGCAATAGTTATTTGGCTGGGAGATTGTGCTTTCTCCAAGAATAATAGAGCTGTAGAGTTGGAAGGGACCCTGAGGATCATTTAGTCCTACTCCCTGCAGTGCAGGAATCTCAACTAAAGCATACACAACAGATGGCCATCCAACCTCTGCTTAAGAACCACCAAGGAAGGAGGGTCCACCACCTCTCATAGGACTTCCATACTTGGACTGGCACTTGAGCTCTGGCCTCTAAAGTTTTGGTCCAAGTTATAGTTAGCGGGCTGCTGTCATCTCCATACCCAGAACAGCTGTGCTGGACAGCACAATGGGGATGCAATGGAGGCAGCCTTCAGTGCCTCTAGGTAGGCTTGATGACTCAGTTTGTTTACAAAGCTATTGTACTACCAACCTTACTGTATGCTTGTGAAACATGGACCACTTACAAACGCCATCTCCAACTTCTCAAAAGATTCTCTGAAAAATCTTACACATCACTTAGGAAGACAGGCGAACTAATATCAGTGTACTGGATGAAGCAAAGATCACCAGTGTTTCTTCAACATCAACATCAACTTCAACAACAACTTCGTTGTACACATGCCTGATTATTGTCTTCCAAAGCAACTACTCTATTCTGAACTTAAAAATGGAAAGCGTAATGCTGGTGGTCAACAAAAGAGGTTTAAAGAGTGCCTCAAGGCAAATCTAAAAATGTAGTATAAACACTGACAACTGGGAAACACTGGCCTGCAAGCGCTCCAGTTGGAGAACAGCCCTTACCAAAAGTGCCGTGGACTTTGAAGAAGCATGAACTCAGGGCTAAGAGGAAGGCATGTTTGGCAAACCTTCACCATGATCAAGTCCCGCCCGGAAACCTATGTCTCCACTGTTGAAGGACGTGTGGATCTAGGAATTGGCTTCCACAGTCTCTTACAGACTCACTGTTAAGACTCTTTTTGTGGAAGACAATCTTACTTGGCTACGAGTGATTGTCAAAGAAGATTAGAGTGTGGTGCTGACCATGCCAAGGTTGTGGGTTTGATCCCCATACGGGACAGCTGCATATTCCTGCATTGCAGGGGCTTCAACTAGATTTCATTTCATTTCCATTTCACTTTTAATTGGCCTGCCACCTTTCTATATTGCTATGCACAAGGCGGTTTATAAGCTGAAGAAACCACAAAATAGACAGCAAAGATTGCACACCTAATAACGATCTGATCCAATGCAAAGAAGCCATAATAAAAACGTAACTTTAAAATAAACAACTTACATCAAATAAAGCAATATTCAATAGGTAAACGGCAAACTTAAATATCAGCAAATAATAATTAAACAGTTTACACTTAACACTTACAGTGGTACCTCTGGTTACAAACTTAATTCGTTCCAGAAGTCTGTTCTTAACCTGAAACCATTCTTAACCTGAGGTACCACTTTAGCTAATGGGGCCTCCCACTTGTGCGCGATTTCTGTTTTCTTAAGTTCTTAACCCGAGGTGGTACTACTGGGTAAGTGGAGTCTGTAACCCAAAGTGTTTGTAACCCAAGGTGTTTGTAACCCGAGGTACCACTGTATAATAAAGATTTACTAAACTATAATCAATAAAAATAATGGCAACTCATAATGCATGAAAGACCCGAAAACCATATGAAAGGATCAAATTGAGAAACAAGGACACACAACTTTTAAAATTATTGGTTTTTAATAGATGGTCCTGTGGGTCCTACTCTACAATTCGATGATTCTATGAGCCCTCACTAGTGTTCAATTTCATTCAACAGAGTTTTCCTCCACGCATGTTCGAATCATCTCCCAGCTTGTTTCCTCACCCTTGATTCTAGAGCAGGGCAGTCCAACCTTTCATACCAAGTGGGCCGCAAGAGAATTTCGACACAGAACCCACAAGCTGCACACTGCCTTGCCATGCAGGGCAGGGGAGCGAGGCCAAGATTTGAGGGGGTCCCTCCTGCTGCTTTCCCAAAGCCAGAGAAGCGAGGGCTGGTCTTTGGGAAGGAGGCACGATGCTCCGACGGCATCCTAGAACCTTTCCACCTTCTTCCTAAAGCTGGAAAGGCACTAATTGGGCTCTGGGAAGGAAGCAGGGGGACCCTAAGACCCTGTCAGAGCCCTTGCTCCTCCTTTGCAAAGCCCAGCAACTCACTTATCTGGCTTTGGGAAGGCGAGGGCTGCAGGTGGTGGGCAGCATACGGTGCTGAGGGCCGCCAAAAAAGGCCTTGAGGGCCACGTGTTGGACCACTCTGCTCTAGAGTATACTGGGGATCCAAGCAGGGACCACAAAGTGGGAGAGGGTGCTCAGCAGCGATTGTGTCAACCTTTAGAAGACATCTGAAGGCAGTCCTATGTAGGGAAGTTTTTTTAATGTTTAATGTTTTATTATGTTTTTATATATGTTGGAAGTGGCTTGGTCAACCCAGTCAGATGATCAGGATATAAATAGTAAAACCTGTTGTTGTTGTTGTTGTTGTTGTTGTTGAATAGGACGTTCCTATTTTCATTGGAGAAATGCTGGAGGGTACATGAAAGGGACCACATGCAGTGATCTTTATGTTGTGATCTTTAATAAATGTACCCACAACCCTGAGACTGAGTCTCGTGCTCTGCTGAGAGCATTCTCCTCCAACTGCTGCTGTCCAACACTTTCCCGCCCTCAAAACTGGATATTGCCTATGCTTTGAAAATCCAAGTATGAGAGCTGCATTGATTTAGGGAGGATAAAGCGTAGGACAGCAACAGGTGGAGAACAATTGAAAGACGTAGGGGAATTGAAGGAGGCACAAGCAGTTCACATTCCACATTAAGCCAAGGTATGGGTGGACCCTTAATTATGTTTCTTCCTGTTGTAACAATTGTAAAGTGCTGTAGTAGATGCTGTGTGATTTTTAATTGCATTTTCATTGTTTTAATTTCTGGCGTTCTATTTTATTGTGTTACAAATTGCATTCTATAGAATAAAAATACAATTATTCATATACAGTATCTATATGTATATCCATATACCATATTCATATTCGTTTATATCTATGCAATATTCATATTTAATACGAGCAACCCCACAGAGCACCTGAATGAAGCTTGCGGATCACTGGTGATCCGCACACCACAGTTTGAGATTCACTGTTCTTATGGATTATGTTACTGGTTAAAAAAAACCCAAGAGATCAAGGTGAGACAACTGTCTGTATTGCTAGTCCTACTCAAAGTAGACCCACTGATGAATTTCAGTGGCTCTACTCTGAGTAGAACTTAGTTGTCTGCAACCCAATTTGACAGTTTATGGGGCAAGAAAGCTGTGGGGTTTTGTTTTCCCCCTCACATACGTTTAAAGAAGATTGGAAAATGTTTATTGAATATATGGGTGAAAATTGTGTACATTTGAAAATGTTGGCAGTATTAAGATAAATTCAACAGTGTAAATAAGTTTTGATGGATGTAATAATGGAATACTGAATGGTTTGGTTTATGTAAAATATGCAGAAATTTGTGTTATGTAAAATGAACCATGGAAAGAGAAGAAGGGAAGTCATTGATATTTTAAAGTTGTTTAAATGAATATTCTAAAATATGAAATTGTGTATGTGTGTGTGTGTGTGTGTGTGTGTGTGTGTGAGTGTGACACTGCTTTTACTTAAATGATTCATAAGCAAGTCAAGGGTGCAACTTGAACTAGTCAGGTTTTCTAATAATGACAGTAAACTATTCATCATAGTAAAATCTCAGATTCTGAAGAGCTCCAAAACCAAAATTGTCTAAACAGGCAACAGGAGAGCAAGTGAAATGCAGCATAAGGCTAAAGTGATGCACATCAGGGCAAAGGGGTCTGAATTTCACAAACATGCTAACGCTGTCTGAATGGGGCTGTGGGCTCCCAAGGTTTTCCCAATACATCCTGGGGCCATATCAGAAAGCTCACTTATTACATCAGTGTGCTGTAATGAATAAAAAGAGAGAGAAAGGGACTGAAAATAAAGGAGCATGGTGATAATGATGATTTAATTAGTAAATCACTTCCTATAAAACTTCTCAAAGTGATTTAATATGACATGGATTAATATGCCATGTTTTCAACCCATGGACTTCCTATGGGCTTATTTGGGTTTTGTTATAGCTTTTTAAATGTGTTTTTTTGGTAGGTGTTTTTGGTTTCTTAGGCATTTTGTATTCTCATTTTGTGTTCTTATGTTGTGAACTGCGCCGGGATCCTTGGATGAAGGGCAGTATACAAATTCAACAATAATAATAAATACTGAAAACTGTGTTTTGCTCTGGTTTCCGACGCTCCCACAATTCTGTAGAACTGAACGAGGTGCAGAAAAAGACAAATGGAAACAATACAGTCAAGGGATAGAGCAACTTCAAACAAGGAATGTATAAGGAAGTTGTGGGGTGGGGGAGCCCAGAAAGAAAAATCAACAGAGGACACTTCTAGAAGGGTGTGTTATTGCATGTGTCTTCTGCAACGTGTTATTGACACAGTAACAGTGATTTAAAGCGTCCCCTGACCATTAGGTCCAGTCGTGACCGACTCTGGGGTTGCGGCGCACATCTCGCTTTATTGGCCGAGGGAGCCGGTGTACAGCTTCTGGGTCATGTGGCCAGCATGACTTCTGGCAAACCAGGGTTGGGTATGACCGCTCAGAGAGCACCATGAGGGCAAATCAGAACAAATATGCAATAAAGAGTGTTTCTGGGGAGGCAGATGCAAAGGCCTGTTGGCACAAAATTTTGCAAAACCACATGGACTAGAATCTTCCGGCAGGAGTAAATAAAGCAAATTACAGTACTCACCTCTGCATGAAGGAAAAGGCTGCTTCCCATAGATCTAAAGACATAAACTAAACGCCACTTAATCTCAGCTCTCCTTTTCATCTCACGTATATTGGTACTCTAGTACAAAGTTATTGTTCTTTTGCTGGGTCGGCCCCTTCCTAACCTCACTTCTGTCTTCGTAACAATCGCCTTCCCTTCTTCCAGTTCTTCTCTCGTGTGAGGACTAAGGATACAACTTTTGCTTCTATTCCAGAGATGAATCCGTTGCTCTGGTATCTGTCCTGCTACTTGTAGGAAACCAGAGCAGTCAGCTTGTCTTGGGGCTTCGCTCCCATCAACAGATGCACTCTGGATAGGCTTTTATGGTCCAGAATCTATGGCCAGAGATCACAAGCCGTGCAGAAGTTGGCTTGAGGGAGAGGCTGGCAGCATGGAAGGAGAAAGTCAAGCAAAGAGAAGCAGACAGGTGTGGAGAGGTAAAAGAGGCAGGCAGGCAGGCAGGCAGGCAGAAAGATGGATGATAGATGTGGAATGTGAAGAAAGGAAATGCTATGTTCCCAGCAAAGAGTCCAAGGATTATAGACTATAATGAATTAAATGTTGATGTGTTTACTTGTGACAGAAAAAAGAGGTGAGGGAAAGGAGCTGAATGCAGTTAGAAGTTAGATGGGAGGAAGCATCCACTCTTTGTGTGTGTGTTTGTGGTGGGAAAGGGAAAGAGTAAGATCAGGAGAATGGAAACAGATACTAATATAGACTACAGTGGTACCTCGGGTTAAGTACTTAATTTGTTCCGGAGTTCCGTACTTAACCTGAAACTGTACTTAACCTGTAGCTAGTGGCCCCCCCCACTGCTGCTGCACCGCCAGAGCACAATTTCTGTTCTCATCCTGAAGCAAAGTTCTTAACCCGAAGCACTATTTCTGGGTTAGCGGAGTCTGTAACCTGAAGTGAATGTAACCTGAAGCGTATGTAACCTGACGTACCACTGTATTAGAAAGGTTGGAAAGATCGCTGTAGAGCCTCAAAGATTAAATAAAAGGGAGAAGCTGGATCTTCCCTCTCCCCACAACTTGTCTACTTCACCCCAGCATCGTTGCTATTCTGGCTGAGAATTGAACCCCAACTACAAGTACCTAGAGACCTCCCCCAGCTTAAGCCTACTTCTTGCAGGGCATTGGAGGGGAAGGGAGCTGGCTTTATGGGGATCTTACTAAAGAAGGGGCTGTTGTTGCTGCGTCTCCAGAATCTAATGGACAATGCAAGGCAGTTTCCTGCACATCACGGAGCCTCAGGGAATCAAACTTCAAGCTGAACAATTAGAGGCAGGCTCCCTATTAAGACATGACATCCTCAGGGAAGGCGACTTTCGTCAGAGTTCTTTCGTCATTTGCAGAAGTACTTCAAACTGCTATAATTGTGCCCAAGTTGTGAATCTTGTGTTGCAAGTTCGGCAAAGTTATTAACTGTTAGTTTATTGATTCTTCATTTGGACTCTTTATGTTCTTCTTCTTCATTGATGCTGCTTTTTGGTTTGGCGACTATTGGTGGCAATCCAGCCAGATGGGCGGGGTAGAAATAAAATAAATAATAATAATAATAATAATAATAATAATAATAATAATGTTTTCTGTTATTTTTAATGCTTGTTTTCATAGTTCATAAGGTGCTTTGAGCTGCTGCTTTTGGGAAGGGGGAAGGGGATCTGATTTGCGGCAGCCCATGTTGGTAGTGTAGATTTTGGCGATTTTCATTTTTTTTAAGATTTGGCAAAAAAAAGGGGCAGTGTTGAAATACGGCAACCCTACTTAAGCTACAGCGCCCAGCTTTCTTTGGGGAAGTCAGGGCTGTTTAAAGTGGTATTAAAGGTAAAGGGACCCCTGACTGTTAGGTCCAGTCACGGACGACTCTGGGGTTGTGACGCTCATCGGGCTTTATTGGCCAAGGGAGCCAGCGTGCAGCTTCCAGATCATGTGGCCAGCATAACTAAGCCACTTCTGGCGAACCAGAGCAGCACACTGAAACGCCGTTTACCTTCCCGCCGGAGCAGTACCTATTTATCTACTTGCACTTTGACGTGCTTTCGAACTGCTAGGTTGGCAGGAACAGGGACCGAGGAACGGGAGCTCACCCTGTCACGGGGATTCTAACCATCAACTTTCTGACCTGCAAGCCGTAGACTCTGTTGTATAGACCACAGTGCCATCTGCTGTGGTATTATAGTGGTTTAAATGTATGGTGTGTGAAATATACTCGGAGTCGTGTGGGAATTTCATGCTCTTTATTTAGCTCATAGTAGCAATGAATGAAATATGTGTATATATACATTATTTACACAATGGGCCCCGCGTGATTGGCTAATTCTGGGCTGCTTCTGTAGGCCAATCAGGTTGCGGATTCACCTCCTCCAGAAGCCTGATTGGCTGTGCCTGCAGGCTTTGCTTAATTCTGATCCCCCCCCCCCCTTAAACTTTGCCGAGAGAAGGGCGTGTGAGAGCTGGGTGCTTTACCTCATAGAGCGCTTTGCTTTCCTCCCTCCCAGGATCCTCCACCCCCACCCCCATTTACCGCTGCATTTTCCTTCCTCCTGAGTTAAATTTCAGCGCTTTACTCCCCCCCTTATTTTATTTTATTTTTACATTTGTTTGGCGTTTGGTTACCGAGCCTTTTGGAGTCCGCCATCTTTTGCCTCCCCTACCTCCCAGCCTTTACTTTCGCGTGGGACAAAACATGGGTTCTTTTCCCTTTCCCTTGTGCTAGCTGTATCGCAACAGCGGCAGAAGCTTTAAATCTATAAGGAAGATGAAATATACTCGGAGTCGAGTGTGAATTTCATGCTCTTTATTCAGCTCGTAGTAGCAATGAATGAAACTTTCCCCAAAACGTCTAGCTATATATACATTATTTACACAATGGGCCCTGCGTGATTGGCTAATTCCGGGCTGCTCCTGTAGGCCAATCAGGTTGCGGATTCACTTCACCCAGGAGCCTGATTGGCTGCTCCTGCAGGCCAATCAGGTCGCTGATTCACTTCCACCTGGAGCTGGATTGGGTGGCTCCTGTGGACCAATCTGACTGCTGCATTTTGGATCCTATTGTTCTAGGATTCAGCTCAGTACATAACAGAAGAGGAGTGTGTAGGCGGTGGGTGTATAACAAGGGCTGTTGCTTCCTCCCTCCTCCCAAGGCTTAATTAACCTTTCCTTCATTGAAACAAAAAGAAAAAAATTCCTTCCAGTAGCACCTTAGAGACCAACTAAGTTAGCTATTGGTATGAGCTTTCGTGTGCATGCACACTTCTTCAGATACCAGACCGTCATATATAGTGAGAGGGTGGGAGGGGTATTACTCAGAAGGGTGGTGGGAATGGGTGATTGACTGATAGGTGTAGTAAACCTGTTGACGACTGTTAACTACTGCAATGGTCTTACAGGAAAAAGCAAGGGGTGAGATGGCTAAAAATAGCTTTGTCATGTATAATGAGATAAGAATCCAATGTCTCTATTCAGACCAGGTTTCTCCATGGTTTTAAGTTTGGCAATAAGTTGCAATTCAACTTCTCTTTCCAGTCTATTTCTGAAATTCTTTTGTAATAAGACAGCTACTGCTGGTGAGCTTCTGGAAGAAAAACAAGTCCATCTCCTATGGTGGCTATGTGGCTGAGTTGTACATCTCCCTTGCTCTGGGCTCCACAGAATGTGTTCTTTTGCCTGTCATGGCCTATGACCAATATGCTGCCGTCTGCCACCCGCTGCGCTACACCACCATTATGAGCAGCTCTGTATGTTTCAAAATGGCTGCCTTTGCCTGGCTTTGTGGCTTTAGTAATTCACTAGTGCAGACAGTGTTGACTGTTCAGCTTCCACAGTGTGGACATAACCGAATAGGCACCAACCTTAATCAAATTGGCTTGTGTTGACACCACATTCAATGAGACTGAGCTCCTTTCTTCCAGTGCGGTTTATCTTCTGTTACCACTGAGTGTCATTATAACCTCTTACAGCTACATAACAGCTGCTGTGTTAAGGATCCGCTTAGCCAAAGGCAGGCATAAGGCCTTCAGCACCTGTGCTTCCCACTTGATTGTGGTGTCGCTCTTTTACGGGTCAGCCATTTGCAGTTACGTCCAGCCTCCATCCAGCTACTCCAGGGAGCATGGCAAGATGATGTCGCTCTTTTATACATCTGGCACCACTACGCTCAATCCACTGATCTACACTCTGAGCAACAAAGATCTTATGTACTGAAGTTCTCACCCTGGGCCAGCAGGGGGATACTGTAGATAGTTTTCACTCAGGTCCGCATATGCAAATAAGTATAGTTCAGTGATTGGATAGTTACAGATAGTTGTTACTGTTGCTTTGTAGTTGAGCTCTATATAAGCAGGTTGGCTGAACCCTTCAGCCCAGTTCTGTTCTGGCCTGTGAATAAACAAGAGCTGTTTGAAGAATCGCTGTGTCGTCTGATATGTTTACCCACAACTTAAGAAAAGACATGCACAAAGCTCTTGGAAGAATAATGAGGAAATCAACAACTTGAGTCGAATGGCTGCCCACTTTTTTTAAAAAAGTTTTTTATTTATACTTTTCAAATTGATACATTTCATTAATTTTACAATGCATTTAACATTTCAGAATTTGACTTCCTTCCCCCTCTTTCTGCGGTTCCTTAAATTTTTTCATTTCTGCATTTCCAAATTCATTTAATTTGCTCATTTAATTATCTACTGTGAATATATAGTCTTATAAAACTGCAGATTATTACAATAATCCTGCTAATGTTTTTATCTGTTTACAATTTGTCTGTAATTATTAAATAAACCATTTCCATTCTTTTATAAAGTTTGTTATCTTGATTTCTTATTCTTCCAGTAAGTTTCGCCATTTCTGCATATTCCATAAGTTATGCAGTCACGATGACTATTTTCTACATCCTCTGTCAATACCAGTTTCTAGACGATGTGGGAGGATAGAGTGCTCTTGTACTTGCTAGTTTTCCGCAGGCATCTGTGAGACGACTAGATGGGCCTCTGGCCTAATCCAGTAGGCTCTCATGTTCTTGATGTGCTCCTAAATTTTCTCTATATTGAATAGATATTTTTAGAGATTACATTTCTGTTTATTGTCAAGAGGTTTTCACTGCCACAGTACACCAAGGGGTGGGTATTCTCTAATTGCAGGTGGTAGGCCACCTTCTTCCACTTTTGACACTCTAGAATTTGTAAACCAATATTTTAGATTGCAGCATGGTTAAAAACGTTTTCCATTAGGAAATGCTAAACCACTTTTGGTAGAGTGTTTTTGCTGCTACTCTGGGCTTCTTAAAGGTAAAGGTAAGGTACCTCTGCCCGTACGGGCCAGTCTTGCCAGACTCTAGGGTTGTGCGCTCATCTCACTCTATAGGCCAGGAGCCAGCGCCGTCCGAGGACACTTCCGGGTCACATGGCCAGCGTGACAAGCTGCATCTGGTGAGCCAGCGCAGCACATGGAATGCCGTTTACCTTCCCGCTGGTAAGCGGTCCCTATTTATCTACTTGCACCCGGGGGTGCTCTGAACTGCTAGGTTGGCAGGCGCTGGGACCGAACGACGGGAGCGCACCCTGCCGCGGGGATTCAAACCGCCGACCATGCGATCGGCAAGTCCTAGGCGCTGAGGTTTTACCCACAGCGCCACCCGCGTCCCACCCACTGGGCTTCTTACCTGCTCATAAAAAGTTGAATAGTTCTTCCCATTTTTTGAAGTAAAGTTTCGCTCACCTTCAGTGGTATATTTGACATCAGTAAATAGGATTTATGTATGTTCATCTTTATTACTGAATTCCTAGCCATCCAAAAAGTTTCACATTTCCCCAATTGCTAGATGTTTACTTCTTTCTTTAATTTATTTGTTATGATTAAACATTACTACATATTCCAAATTAGTGGTGGATTTATACCTGGGCATCCGCACCCAATTGATGTCTTGGAATGTTTCCCCAATGATACTGCAGTATTGGCGTCTAGAGGGGTAGAAGAGAAGAGTTTGGATTTGATATCCCGCTTTATCACTACCCTAAGGAGTCTCAAAGCGGCTCACAATCCCCTTTCCCTTCCTCCCCCACAACAAACACTCTGTGAGGTGAGTGGGGCTGAGAGATTTCAGAGAAGTGTGACTGGCCCAAGGTCACCCAGCAGCTGCATGTGGAGGAGCGGAGACGCGAACCCGGTTCACCAGATAACGAGTCCACCGCTCTTAACCACTATACCACACAACAAAAACAGAAATTAAACTGGAAGGGTTACGGTATAAAATGTTACAAGATTTCAGCAGGAGCTATATGGCGTGCACTGAAATATGACATGCACAGAAACAAAGCAGAATGTCTACCCCAAATATTTGCAGGTATAAACAGCATTGAAGGTGGGATCACAAAGATAAACAATAACCTGTCTGGATGGCCACTGTGAGAGAAGGATGCTGTGCTGGTCATTGCCATGATCTTCTGTGGGAGTCATAAAGCCACGGCAAAGGCTTGTAATATTGCAGGGTGCCCCCTGACCTCAGCTGACCAGCACTCTGAGCTTTACAATGTATTGGAATGTATTGACCTTAAATGGAGTTGTGTTTCCTCTGGGCAGTGATGACCCTATATGGTGATGGGTGTAATAAAAGCCTTGACCGGATGAGGTAACGTGAGACATTGGAAAACGGCCATGCGAGGGAGAGAAGAAAGGATAATAAAAGTTACAGGAGAGAAGAGAGTTCGAAAAGGAGCTGCTCATACCATCCTGAAAATATTGCTGGCTCTCTGTGTCTTTATTTTATGCTAAACTGCGCCATTTGGACGGCTGGCTCCGACAATCTTCTTATGTCCTTATATATGCAATGTTATGCACAGTCTTTGAGCAGTGAGAGATTCCAGTGGTTCCTGCCTTTACCCAGACCTCCAGTTGAAGGTCAGCAGAGACTGGTATCTTTAGAATATATGGTTTTATTTACACATATATATAACCTGAGCACCGGATGGAGGACCTCACAGCACTAACATCCCACTAGATCTTGCTTCCCCATTTAGTTTCCAGAGGAACCCCAAAGTTCAACACACAGAGCAAAACATGTCTCTCTCTCCAGTTTACACAACTTAGGACATTGTTCTTCAATGTACCACACAGGTGAGGTGACAACAGGAACGCAACCCATTTGTTCCTAAGGCACAGAGCAACTTCTTTGGATATGCTAAATCATAGTACTTAGCAAGCCAACGCCATCACCTTGACAAAGGAACCGGTTTGGCAGGGTACTCCTTACCCATTGTACCTCACAGATACATGGTCAAAGGTTTTGGAAGTGACCCAGGTTATCATCCAGACTGATGCTTCCCCCAAAACTCATAACAGTATGTTCATCATGAAAGCACAACTGCCAAACAAAACTCAACCTCCAAGAACAAGTCCATAAAGAGAGCCAGAACAAACAAACATATCTGCTGAACTTGAAACTCATTGGGCACAATAATAGTTAGAATAATTAGGAATGCTTCTGTAAATGAATAAACAATGCCAGTGATAGTCACCTCTCCTGAGGATGATCACAATTGGCCTCTAGGGCTTCATTACTTCTGTGTAATATGTAGTTCATCCCTAGTTATTCAGCTTGAGTTCTGATTCCCTGGGGCTATGTGACACTGAAGCAATGTCCATGCAACTTCCCCTAGCTGGTAGAGATGCCCCTTCCTCCTTCAGTAAGAAGCCCATAAAACCGAGTATCTCCCGAGCCCCGCTCTTAAGAAGTAGGCTTAAGCTGTGGGACGTCTCTAGGTACATGTAGTTGGGATGCAATGCTGAACCAGAATAGCAAAGATGCTGGGCTGAAATAGGCAAGCTGATCAGGGCAGGAGTTGGGAGGAGAAGAAATGTCCACCTTCTCCCTTTTCTTTAATCTTTGAGGCTAACTGCTGTAGCTGGACCTATCTTCATCTTTCTCCTGCTCCCTTTCCCCTGATCTTATTGCCTACCCACTGAATCTCTCTCATTGCATTATCTAGTCAGCCTTTCTTCCCAAACACCCTATATCTATCTTTATCTATCTATTCGCCTGCCTCTTTCTACCTCTCCACATCTGTCGGCTTCTCCATGCTTGGCTTTCTGTCTATCTTCTGTGAAGCCTCTTCTGCCAAAGCTCTTCACCCCTCGCCTCTGGACGACCAAAGTCTATCCAAGCCAAAACGGAGTCCCAGGTGAGAGAGGTTTCTGGGCGCTTTGCCTTTTGTCCTGCGGTTTGTCCTGAGGTTTCCTTCCCTCCTCTTCCGTGCTGTTTGCAGCTTAGCTTAATTCCGATTCCCCCCCCCCCCCCAAAAAAACCACTTTGCTGAGAGAAGGGCGCGCGAGAGCTGGGTGCTTTACCTCATGGAGCGCTTTGCTCATAGAGCGCTTTTACTTTTGTTCGGCGTTTGGTTACCGAGCCTTTTGGCGTCCGCCACCTTTTGCCTCCCCTACCTCCCAGCTCCCAGCCTTTACTCTCGCGTGGGACAAAACGGGTACTTTTCCCTTTCCCTTGTGCTAGCTGTATCGCAACAGCGGCTGAAGCTTTATATCTATAAGGAAGAGGAGCGTATAGGCGGTGGGTGTATAACAAGGGCTGCGTGCAGTTGCTTCCTCCCTCCTCCCAAGGCTTAATTAACCTTTCCTTCATTGAAACAAAATGAAAAAAAAATTCCTTCCAGTAACACCTTAGAGACTAACAAAGTTAGTTACAGTGGTGCCCCGCAAGACGAATGCCTCGCAAGACGAAAACTTGCTAGACGAAAGGGTTTTTCGTTTTTGAGTTGCTTCGCAAGACGAATTTCCCTATGGGCTTGCTTCGCAAGACGAAAACGTCTTGCAAGTTTGTTTCCTTTTTCGTAAAACCGTTAAAACCCAAGGTGCATTGCTTGAAGAGGTGCAGTTGCGACTTGACTTCGAGGAGCAACTCATAGCACGCGGTGTGGTAGCCTTTTTTGAGGTTTTTGAAGACTTTGGCGATTTTTGAAGCTTTTCCAAAACTTCTTTGCAGCCATTTCGTAAGTTAAACTTTTAAAACTTTTTGGGGGGGTTTTGGATTTTGGGTTGGGGTGTTTGGAATTCAAGGACTTGGTGTTGGGGAGGGGTTTGCAAGAATCTGGAAGCTTGTGTGGTTTTTTTCTGCATTTTTATGATTTTCTGTGACCATTGGGCCACTCTGCTGTTTTTAAAAAAAAAATTATGGGTTTGAATTTCTGTGTGGTGGGTGGCTGGGGGAACAGTTGGGGAGGGGTTTGCAATAATCTGGGAGCTTGTGTGGTTTTTTCCTGCATTTTTATGATTTTCTGTGACCATTGGGCCATGTTGTGTTTTTTTAAAAAAAAATCTGGGTTTGAATTTCTGTGTGTTGGGTGGCTGGGGGAACAGTTGGGGAGGGGTTTGCAAGAATCTGGGAGCTTGTGTGGTTTTTTTCTGCATTTTTATGATTTTCTGTGACCATTGGGCCATGTTGTTGTTTTTTTTAAAAAAAAATTCTGGGTTTGAATTTCTGTGTGGTGGGTGGGTGGCTGGGGGAACAGTTGAGGTTTTTGAAGACTTTGGTGATTTTTGAAGCTTTTCCAAAACTTCTTTTGCAGCCATTTGAGGTTTTAGAAGACTTTGGCGATTTTTGAAGCTTTTCTAAAACTTCTTTTGCAGCCATTTGGTAAGTTAAACTTTTAAAACTTTTTTGGGGGTTTTTGGATTTTGGGTTGGGTGTTTGGAATTCAAGGACTTGGTTCTGGGTTTGAATTTCTGTGTGGTGGGTGGCTGGGTGCTTTTGAATTTTTTGGATGTGAAGCACTGATTCTTTTTTCCCCCTGAGTTTGCGAAGCTAGGAGCTGTGCTGCCATGGGACCCAAGAAGACTGCTGCTGCAGAGGCCGGCGAGAGGAAGAAGGAGAAGGTGACGCTGGAAATGAAGAAGGAGATCATCCGGAAGCACGACGGTGGAATGCGTGTGACAGACCTCGCCAGGGAGTACGGGAGGAATCCATCGACCATCGGGACCATCCTGAAGATGAGGGAGAAGATCCTTGCGACTGATGCAGCCAAGGGAGTCACCAGGATCGTGAAGAACCGCCCAGCTGTTCTGGAGGAGGTCGAGAAGTTGCTGCTCATCTGGTTAGAAGAGAAGCAGCGTGCAGGGGACACAGTGACTGAGGCCGTCATTTGTGAGAAGGCCAAGGCCTTGCACGCAGACCTCGTCCGGGAACAGCCAGGAACCTCAGGCGAGCCAGAAGTCTTCAAGGCAAGCAGAGGTTGGTTTGACCGGTTCAAGGCAAGATCTGGAATCCACAGCGTGGTCAGGCATGGAGAGGCTGCCAGTTCTGATGTTCCTGCGGCTGAAGACTTTGCATTGGAGTTCCTGGAGGCTGTGAAGACGGAGGGCTACGTTCCACAGCAGGTCTTCAACTGCGACGAGACCGGGCTGTTTTGGAAGAGGATGCCCAAAAGGACTTTCATCACTCAGGAGGAGGCCAAGTTGCCTGGCCACAAGCCCATGAAGGACCGTCTGACCCTGCTCTTCTGTGCCAACGCAAGCGGCGACCTGAAGATCAAGCCCCTGCTGGTGTACCACTCGGAGAACCCACGGGCCTTCAAGAAACACAAGGTCGACAAGGAGCAGCTGAGTGTCATGTGGCGATCCAACAGTAAGGCTTGGGTCACACGTGTGCTGTTTGTGGACTGGGTCAATCTTGCTTTTGGCCCTGCTGTCAAACAGTACCTGCTGGACAACGACCTGCCGCTGAAGGCTTTGCTTCTGATGGACAATGCTCCTGCTCATCCTAAAGGCCTTGAGTTGGACTTGTTGGAGGAGTTCAGCTTCATCAGCATCATGTTCCTGCCGCCTAACACCACGCCACTGCTCCAGCCGATGGATCAGCAGGTCATCGCCAATTTCAAAAACTCTACACCAAGGAGCTTTTCAGGCGATGCTTCGAGGTGACTGATTGCACCACCATCACCCTGCGGGAATTCTGGAAGGACCACTTCGACATCGTCACCTGCTTGAAGATGATCACCACGGCCTGGAACGGGATCAGCCAGAGAAATTTGAATTGCGCTTGGCGCAGCCTGTGGCCGGACTGTGTGGCACCAAGTGACTCTGATGCACCAGAGTCAACAGTGGTGCAGGACATTGTTGCCTTGGGGAGGACCATGGGCCTGGAGGTCACAGAGGAGGACATCAGCGAGCTGGTGGAGGAGCACGACCACGAGCTGACCACCCAGGAGCTGGTCGAACTGCAGGCAGAGGCTGCGCAGGAGCAGGCCTCGCTGGAAGAGGAGGAAGCAACTGAGGAACGGCTGTCCTCCAAAGAACTGAGGGACATTTGCATGAAGTGGAAGGATGTGCAGGCTTTTGCACAGCGGCACCACCCTGACAAGCACGTGGCACATGACCTTGCGAACACTTTTGATACGAGGGTCATGTCGCCTTTCAGGGAGGTGCTGAAAAGGCGGATGAAGCAGCAGACCATGGACAGGTTCTTCAGCAAGAAGCAAAGAGTGGAAGAGGAACCTTCTTCGAGTGGTCCCCAGAGTCTTAGAAAATGTACTGTACACTTTGTTGATTTTTAAATGTTTTTCTGTCATGTTTAGAAACTTAATTTATTGTTCCTTCAATTTTTGAAATGCTCTTTACAGTATGTGTGACTTTAAAGAGCACTTAATAAACTCTTGTTGTACCAAATTTGGCTTTGTTTGGACTTTTTTTGACCATAGGAACGCATTAATTGAATTTCAATGCATTCCTATGGGATTTCGTGCTTCGCAAGACGAAAAATTCGCTAGATGAAAAAACTCGCGGAACGAATTAATTTTGTCTTGCGAGGCACCACTGTATTGATATGAGCTTTCGTGTGCAAGCACACTTCTTCAGATACACTGAAAGAGAAGTCAGCAGACCCTTATATATAGTGAGAGGGTGGGGGTGGGAATGAGTGATTGGCTGATAGGTGTGGTAAACCTATTGACGCCTGTTAACGACTGCAATGGTCTTACAAGAAAAAGCAAGGAGTGAGATGGCTAAAAATAGCTTTATCATGTATAATGAGATAAGAATCCAATGTCTCTATTCAGACCAGGTCTCTCCATGGTTTTAAGTTTGGTAATAAGTTGCAATTCAGCAACTAATAATAATAATAATAATAATAATAATAATAATAATTTATTATTTATACCCCGCCCATCTGGCTGGGTTTCCCCAGCCACTCTGGGCGGCTTCCAACAAAACACTAAAATACAATAATCTATTAAACATTAAAAGCTCCCCTAAACAGGGCTGCCTTTAGATGCCTTCTAAAAGTTTGGTAGTTATTTTTCTCTTTGACATCTGGTGGGAGGGCATTCCAGAGGACGGGTGCCACTACCGAGAAGGCCCTCTGCCTGGTTCCCTGTAATTTGGCTTCTCGCAGTGAGGGAGCCGCCAGAAGGCCCTCGGCGCTTGACCTCAGTGTCCGGGCAGAACGATGGAGGTGGAGACGCTCCTTCAGGTATACTGGACCGAGGCTGTTTAGGGCTTTAAAGGTCAGCACCAACACTTTGAATTGTGCTCGGAAACGTACTGGGAGCCAGTGTAGATCTCTCAAGACCGGTGTTATATGGTCTTGGTGGCTGCTCCCAGTCACCAGTCTAGTTGCCGCATTTTGGATTAGTTGTAGTTTCCGGGTCACCTTCAAAGGTAGCCCCACATAGAGCGCATTGCAGTAGTCCAAGCGAGAGATAACCAGAGCATGTCCCACTCTGGCGAGACAGTCCACGGGCAGGTAGGGTCTCAGCCTGCGTACCAGATGGAGCTGATAAACAGCTGCCCGGGACACAGAATTGACTTGTGCCTCCATGGACAGCTGCGAGTCCAGAATGACTCCCAAGCTGCGCACCTGGTCCTTCAGGGGCACAGTTACCCCATTCAGGACCAGGGAGTCCCCCACACCTGCCCGCCTCCTGTCCCCCAAAAACAGTACTTCTGTTTTGTCAGGATTCAACCTCAATCTGTTAGCTGCCATCCATCCTCCAACTGCCCCCAGACACTCACACAGGACCTTCACCGCCTTCACTGGTTCCGATTTGAAAGAGAGGTAGAGCTGGGTATCATCCGCATACTGATGAACACCCAGCCCAAACCCCTTGATGATCTCTCCCAGCGGCTGCATATAGATGCTGAAAAGCATGGGAAGACAGAACCCTGAGGCACCCCACAAGTGAGAGCCCAGGGGTCTGAACACTCACCCCCCACAATCACTTTCTGAACACGGCCCAGGAGGAAGGAGTGGAACCATTGTATAACAGTGCCCCCAGCTCCCAGCCCCTCTAGGCGGTCCAGAAGGATGTTATGGTTGATGGTGTCAAAAGCCGCTGAGAGATCCAGCAGAACTTGGAAACAGCTCTCACCTTTGTCCCTAGCCCGCCGGAGATCATTGACCAGTGCAACCAAGGCAGTTTCAGTCCCATGATGAGGCCTGAATCCCTACTGGAAGGGATCCAAATGGTCCGCTTCTTCCAGGCGTGCCTGGAGTTGTTCAGCAACCACTCGCTCAATCACCTTGCTCAAGAATGGAAGAACTTCTCTTTCCAGTCTATTTCTGAAATTCTTTTCTAATAAGACAGCTACTTTGAGATCTTGTATAGAATGTCCTGGGAGATTGAAGTGTTCTCCTACTGGTTTCTCTGTCTTGTGATTCCTGATATCAGATTTATGTCCATTTATCCTTTGGCATAGGGTTAGTTGGTCTAACTTAGTTGGTCTCTAAGGTGCTACGGGAAGGCATTTTTTTATTTTGTTTTGACCACGGCAGACCAACACGGCTACCTACCTGTAACTTTCCTTCATTGATTCTGTGGGAGCTTCGAACCGGGGGGGGGGGGGCACCGGGAGCTTTGCTCGTTTTAAACCCCATCTACCCCACTGTCTTCTTTGGCGATCACTCGTAGCCGAGTAAGAGTGTCTTCCATAAACACAGTTTTAACAATGAGTCCATAAGTGACTGTGGAGGCCAATTCTGGACCCACACGTCCTTCCACAGTGGGGACATTGGTTTCCGGGCAGGAGTTTATCACGGTGTGGATTTGCCAAGCATGCCTTCCTCTTAGCATGTTTCTCCCTTGCATCCTGAGTTCGAATGTCTTCAAAGCCCATGACACCTTTGGTAAAGGCTGTTCTCCAACTGGAGCGCTCGCAGGCCAGTGTTTCCCAGTTGTCAGTGTTTATAACTGCTAAGTCTCCCCTAATTTATTTTCCTAGCTCAATGACATATTTTAATGATTATTTCATGCTCAGAAAGGCGAGGAGAATGAGGGATAGTTCATGACTGCTGGAAACCACAGCAGGAAGAGACCTGATGTGCTCAGGTCCTACATCCTAGCTTCCCTTTGGCACCCTGTTGGCTCTGTATGAAAACAATGGACCTTTGTCTTGATCCAACCAGGCTCTTTTTATTTTCTTATGAGTCCTCAGACCATAAGCAGGGATGGGTTGAAGGACCTTCCAGAGGAGGCACTTGGGGAAGAATCACAAAAATGGCCTCCCTCCAGCCCTCTGACCTACTAATTCAGGCATCCCCAACCTTCGGCCCTCCAGATGTTTTGGACTACAATTCCCATCATCCCTGACCACTGGTCCTGTTAGCTAGGGATCAAGGGAGTTGTAGGCCAAAACATCTGGAGGGCTGCAGGTTGAGGATGCCTACACTAATTCCTTCTGACAGCGGATGGATACTGCTAATTACCACCCTTTCCGTACAGATAAAGGTAAAGGGACCTCCGACCGTTAGGTCCAGTTGCGGACAACTCTGGGGTTGCGGCACTCATCTTGCTTTATTGGCCGAGGGAGCCGGCGTACAGCTTCTGGGTCATGAGGCCAGCATGACTAAGCCGCTTCTGGTAAACCAGAGCAGCGCACGGAAACCTTCCCGCCGGAGCGGTACCTATTTATCTACTTGCACTTTGTGCTTTCGAACTGCTAGGTTGGCAGGAGCAGGGACCAAGCAACGGGAGCTCACCCCGTCGTGGGGATTCGAACTGCCGACCTTCTGATTGACAAGTCCTAGGCTCTGTGGTTTAACCCACAGCGCCACCCGCATCCCTTTCCATTTCTTAACCATCTGCTATTCATCATTCTTTTTTGACGGTATAGGCAATGTACAGGAAATCATTGTGGGAAGAAGGTAATCAGACCTATGAAGGAGAATTCATCTTACTGGGAGTGGCTGACCGCCCACACTTGGAGATGCTGCTCTTTGCCATTATCCTGATCTGCTACGTGATGACCCTGTTGGGAAACACGACCATCATTGTGGTGTCGTGGCTGGACCCCCATCTCCACACCCCCATGTATTTCTTCCTCAGCAACCTCTCCTTCCTTGACCTGTGTTACACAACCAGCGTCGGACCACGAATGCTGGTGAGCTTCTGGAAGAAAAACAAGTCCATCTCCTATGGTGGCTGTGTGGCTGAGTTGTACATCTCCCTTGCTCTGGGCTCCACAGAATGTGTTCTTTTGCCTGTCATGGCCTATGACCGATATGCTGCCGTCTGCCATCTGCTGCGTTACACCACCATTATGAGCCGCTCTGTATGTTTCAAAATGGCTGCCTTTGCCTGGCTTTGTGGCTTCAGTAATTCACTAGTGCAGACAGTGTTGACTGTTCAGCTTCCACAGTGTGGACATAACCAATAGACACTCGAGGCACCAGCCTTAATCAAATTGGCTTGTGTTGACACCACATTCAATGAGACTGAGCTCCTTTCTTCCAGTGTGGTTTATCTTCTGTTACCACTGAGTGTCATTATAACCTCTTACAGCTACATAACAGCTGCTGTGTTAAGGATCCACGTAGCCAAAGGCAGGCAGAAGGCCTTCAGCACCTGTGCTTCCACTTGATTGTGGTGTCGCTCTTTTACGGGTCAGCCATTTGCACTTACGTCCAGCCTCCATCCAGCTACTCCTTGGAGAATGGCAAGATGATGTCGCTCTTTTATACATTTGGTACCACTACCCTCAATCCACTGATCTACACTCTGAGCAACAAAGATCTTATGTACTGAAGTTCTCACCCTGGGCCAGCAGGGGGATACTGTAGATAGTTTTCACTCAGGTCCACATATGCAAATAAGGATAGTTCAGTGATTGGATAGTTACAGAAAGTTGTTACTGTTGCTTTGTAGTTGAGCTCTATATAAGCAGGTTGGCGGAACCCTTCAGCCCAGTTCTGTTCTGGCCTGTGAATAAACAAGAGCTGTTTGAAGAATCGCTGTGTCGTCTGATATGTTTACCCACAACTTAAGAAAAGACATGCACAAAGCTCTTGGAAGAATAATGAGGAAATCAACAACTTGAGTCGAATGGCTGCCAACTTTTTTAAAAAAGGTTTTTTATTTATACTTTTCAAATTTATACATTTGATTAATTTTACAATCCATTTAACATTTCAAAATTTGACTTCCTTCCCCCTTTCTGCGGTTCCTTAATTTTTTTCATTTCTGCATATCCAAATTCATTTAATTTGCTCATTTAATTATCTACTATGAATATATAGTCTTATAAAACTGCAGATTATTACAGTAATCCTGCTAATGTTTTTATCTGTTTACAAGTTGTCTGTAATTATTCAATAAACCATTTCCATTCTTTTATAAAGAGTTTGTTATCTTGATTTCTTATTTTTCCAGTAAGTTTCGCCATTTCTGCATATTTCATAAGTTTTTGTGTCCATTCTTCCTTTACTAGGACTTCTACTTCTTTCCATTTTGGCGCAAGTAACATTCTTGCTGCTGTAGTAGCATACATAAATTAATTTATATACAATTTTGGTAGTTGTGTCCCTATAATTCCCAAAATATTTTTTTATAAAAAATTTTTTGTAAATGTTATTTTGAACATCATTTTCAATTCATTATATATCATTTTCCAGTAAGCTTTAACCTTACTACAAGACCATCACATATGATAAAAAGAACCTTCTTTCTCTTTATGTTTCCAACATTTGTTAGATTTAGATTTTGCCAATTTTCTTGGTGTTAGATACCAACGATATATCATTTTCATATAATTTTCTCTTAAACCATAACACGCTGTAGATTTTACATTCAAATTCCACAATCGTTCCCATGCTTCCATATCTATATTATGACTGATATCTATTGCCCAGTGTATCACTGAAGATTTTATTTGCTCATCCTTTGTCTCCCATTCCAATAATATTTTATACATTTTAGACAACACTTTTACATTACATTCCAGCAGGTCTCTCGCCAGTTGTGATATTTGTTCCCCAAAGCCTCATATCCAAACTTTATTAAACACTTCATTCAAATGATGATATTGTAACTATGTTGTTAATTTCCCAGATAATTCTTTAAATTCTTTTAATTTATACTCTCCTCCCTCTTGTTTTTATAAATTTCTATAAGTTGTCCACCCTTCTGTCATGTTCTTTTTCTTTACTGCTATAGCTTCCAGCTGTGAAAGCCATAATGGTGTTCTTACTTCTAGTAAATTCTTGTAACTATCCAACACTCTATACAATTTTTTCCTAATTATATGGTTTGTAAATCCTTTATGAACATTCACCTTTTTGTACCATAAATAAGTGTGCCAGCCAAAAATATTATCATGACTTTCTAAGTCTTAAAATACTTGAATTCTCTAACATCATCCATTCCTTCAACCAAAAAAGACAGGGTGCTTCATAATATAATCTCAGATCCAGCAGGGAAACACCTCCTCTTTCTTTTGCATCTATTAATTTTTATATTTTATCCTCGGTTTTTTCCCTTGCTAAATATGTTTAGAAATATCTTTTTGTGATGCCCCAAAACAATCCGTTCTGCCGATCATTGGAATCGATTGAGACAGAAATAACATTCTTGGCAACACGTTCATCTTTATGGTCAACACTCTGCCTAATAATGAAAGATTTAAATTTGGAACAGAATGGCTGCCAACTCTAATAATAATGAATTGTCCTTCATTCTATGGTGACTTGCAGTGTTGCTTCTGTTCATTTGTTTTTAATGATTATTTTACAGATGTTTTATTGGTGTTTGGAATATTTCAGTGTTGTAACATTGTAATGTAATAATGACATTATTTTTATAGAAAGGTGAGGTGAAAATGCTGTAAATCAGTGCTCCTGATCGGTGGACCTTGGACCCCAGGGGATCCATGGCACCATTCACACAACAAAGGCTGCCATAGAGATATTAAAAATTTTAAAGTAAGAGTCCATTTGAAAAGCAGAGGGTCCACAGTCCTCAGTGCCGGATTACCAAATAGGCAGAGTAATGACCGGCCTATGGGCTCCATGCCCATAGTTTGATCTCCCTTCGAACTAAATCCAGTCCTCTAAATGTGACACCTCATGAGGTCTCCTAACAGCTAATTGGAATACCCAGAAAATATCCATATGTAATGAAATAAATTTCTCCTAACAACTTTGAAAGGTTCTGCAAAGGTAGTTAATTCAAAGAGTTTTGCCCCCTAAGGAGATGGTGCATTCATCCCTTCCCTGGTGCAAGTCACAGCCTCCAGAGGACGCTGTGCAAGGGAAGAGGAGCCAGGTCCTTTGGGGCTTCTTTGCTCATGACTGAAGGGTAACATGTAGTTTCCCCTTAATTACTGAGTCTGAGTTCTGGCCCTTATGGGGCTTCATGATGGTTTCTCAGAGAGCTGCTGAAGAAGGGGAGAGAGAGCAATTTCCTCCACCTCTCCCATCCTCCTGGATAACATCATAAAATCATTTATCCTGACTCTTGAAGGCCCCTTTTGAGACAGAGAGATCATCTTACTATGGCCATGTAGATGTGCCGGTACCAACAGATAGTATGGGAAACAATGCTGAGGCAGAAGAGCCAAGGCGCTGGACCGAATTAGGCAAGCCGACCAGAGTAAGAGTTGCAGGGAGCATTTCTCTTTTCCCACCATCATTTACACTGATCCTTACGGAGATGCCTCCAGTTGTAAGAGAATCTGCATTTCTTTCTTTTTCAGTCTCCTCCTGCCCTTTCCCCCTTGACCCTCTCCCTTCAGATACACATACACACTGCTCTTTCTCTCTGCTTTTTCAAAAACATTTCTTCTTATTTGATTTCATTCTCTAGCTCCTTCGACTATAGAACAGGAAGGTGTAAAGCAACCTTCTCTGGCGTTGTTCCTGACAGGTGGATTGAATGACAACTGCCATCAATTGACATGATTAATAGTCAGGGGTGTGTGAGGTTTATTCTGAAGCAGCCTTCCCTTTCCTACCACACCACCCCTGCCTGTTGGACTACAACTCCCATCGTCCATCACCATTGGCTAAGGTGTCTGAGGGATGATGGGAGTAGTAGTCCAACAAAACCCGGCAACTCAAGCATGGAGAATACTGTGTAATACTGAGATAGCTGGACTAATGGTCTTATTGGCTATAAGGCAATTTCATGTCTGCCTAAGCTACCCCTGGTATTTTCCACACAGTACCCTCTTGATGACCTGGACTACAGAGCTGCATCCAGAGTGAGCTCTGTGAGAGTTTCCTTGGCCCAAGGTGGAGCCACCTGCTCCTTCAACACACACCGTCACAGCAGACCAAGAGTCAGGGGTGAGCTAATTCCAGAAATGAAGGGTGCTAAAAGTTCTAACATGACAGGAATTCAAAAGATATTTTGTTTAAAGTAATACAATTTCGTTTTACTTGATAAGTAAAATGGGTGTAAAATTGCATAGATATCATTAAAATTGATTGCCAAGTGCTTACAGTTATTTATTTTATATGATAATATTAAACTTATTTGGTTGTCCAAAAGTAGTTTATGTGCTTCTTCATCAAACGTCGACTTACCAAACTAAATGTTGTTCAGTCACAAAAATAATAGCAGATTTGAATTCCTCACACTCAAGAATACCTTGCAATGATTAAGTTTCAACCCTCAAATGACACGCCCTTCTGAGGTAGTGTGAGGAGTGTCATCTTGAGAAAGGGACCACAAATTATAGGATGGATGGAAGAGAAATGAAGAGAAGAAAAGAGATAAAATATTGGATACACATTTTTCAGAATTAATTTACTTCTCACTGATTCAGAGGTGAGCTAAATCCAAAAATAAGGGTGGCTAAAATGTTTTACTATGACTTGGAAATTCAAAAGATATTTTGGTTAAATTAATACAATTTTGTTTTGCTTGGTAAGTAAAATGAGTGTAAGATTGCATAGATATCATTCAAATTGATTGCCAAGTAGTTGCAGTTATATATTTTATATGATAAAATTAGAATTATTTGGTTTTCCAAAAGCAGTTTATGTGCTTCTTCATCAAATGTGAACATACCAAACTAAACGTTGTCTAGTCACAAAAATAATAGCAGATTTGAATTCCTCACACTCAAAAATACCCCTCACTGAATAAATTGGCAAAAACTAAGTTTCAACCCTAAAATGACACTCCCTAGTGAGGTCGTGTGAGGAGTGTCATCAGAGAAAGAAAGGAACCATAAATTATAGGATGGAAGGATGTGAAATGAAGAGAATAGAGATAATATACTGAATACACCTTTTTCAGTTCATGGGACATGGCACTTTCAACAATATGCTGGTGAGTAATTTTCTTGTCTTGTCCTAAAGTTTCTCTCCTTCACAGCTTTGAGACATGTGCTTGGAAATGTATATGGGGAAAGCGTATGGGAAGGATATTTCAAGCTGAAGTTGGGAAACAGATTAAGCATCTTTATCGCAGATTCCTACTCCCTCCTTAAGTTGATTCTTCTTTTAAATACTGGGGGGGGGGAGCAGCTTTTGTGTTTCTTTTACTTGTATTTGCTTTGCAGCTGATATAATTAGGTTATTCAACCTTTGTTAAGTTTCTCTAAACAAATCTTCCTTATAAGCGAGGTCTCCAACCCTGGATCATTTTATTGTATACTCATTGCATTTACGTATTTTTAACCACAAGTCTACATTTTTCTGAGATTTGACCACCAGAATAGTACACAGTGTTCAAAGTGTGGCTGACCACTGGTTTACATATAAGCATATGGTAGCTGGTACTTTATTTCAATCTAATTATTTTCAACTCTAATTTGCCTTCTTTATATCACTACAAAATATTATCGTTTTCATTAAGCATCTCAACCCTTACATGTCCTGTTCAGAGCCAAACAACATTTTCCCCTTTTGAAACAGGAATTGGCTAACTCCCAGTTTGTGGGTTCCTGTCAGAAGCCACTGTATTTTGTATGAACTAAACTCTTCTGGTATGTTCTAAAGGTAGCACCATCTAGAGCACATAAATATTTATTTGAAAATACTGATATGCCACTACAGTGGTACCTCGGGTTAAGAACTTAATTCGTTCTGGAGGTCCGTTCTTAACCTGAAACTGTTCTTAACCTGAGGTACCACTTTAGCTAATGGGGCCTCCAGCTGCTGCTGCGCCACCACTGCACGATTTCTGTTCTCATCCTGAAGCAAAGTTCTTAACCCGAGGTACTATTTCTGGGTTAGCGGAGTCTGTAAGCTGAAGCGTCTGTAACCCGAAGCGTCTGTAACCCGAGATACCACTGTACTCATAAAAGTACCAGAGTGGTTTCCCACAGCTCTGAATAAAAACCATACAATAAAAAAAGCAGAGCAATCTTAAAATCCAAGATCAGTTACGTATTCTCTTCCATTAGCACTATGCCTCTCATCATTCCTGATCATTTCCCATGCTTTCTGGGAGCTGAAGTCCAGTGTTGGCTTTCCCTGTGCTAGAATAACCTGGAGCAAGAATGTATGCCCATCCACCCTTCTGCTTGTCCCGTGTGTAGAAAGCATGGGTCCAAGTGATTTCCCACTTGTCCCATGCTTTCTAGGGCCCTGCTACTTCCCCCGGAAAGTCCACACTTCAGTGCTAAATCAGAGCACCCTAATCTTCTGATTGTAACCTGGTTTAACTCCTTTTAATCTTGAATATCAGATTACCCTTGGCCCTCCAGACATAGCTGAACTACAACTCCCAGCATCCCATGCTTTTGGCGATGCTTCCAGGGCCGAAGAGGGTTGTAGTTCAGGAACATCAGGAGGGTTTCCCATCCCTGCATTAAGCCATGTAAAAATTAGAAGGTTTTCTCATTGTACACATGGTACATGGGTGATCTCAGCCATACCAAGATGCCACTATTGCTTTTGTGTCAACTGTTTATTCCAGCTCCATTTTGAGTAGGTATTTTCCTATTTTTGTTTCTTCCTTTTCTAGATAATGTACAGGGAAGGATTGTGGGAAGAAGGTAATCAGAGCTACCAAGGAGAATTCATCTTACTGGGAGTGGCTGACCGCCCATGCTTGGAGATGTTCCTCTTTGCCATTATCCTGACCTGCTACATGATGACCCTGTTGGGAAACACAACCATCATTGTGGTGTCACGACTGGACCCCCATCTCCACACCCCTATGTATTTCTTCCTCAGCAACCTCTCCTTCCTTGATCTTTGCTTCACCACCAGCCTCGGACCACAGATGCTGGTGAGCTTCTGGAAGAAAAAGAAGTCTATCTCATATGGTGGCTGTGTGGCTGAATTGCACATCTCCCTTGCTCTGGGCTCTACAGAATGCGTCCTTTTGGCTGTCATGGCCTATGACAGATATGCTGCAGTCTGCCATCCACTGCGCTACACTACCATTATGAGCCACTCTTTATGTTTCAAAATGGCTGCCATCGCCTGGCTTTTTGGCTTCAGCAATTCACTAGTGCACACAGTGATGACTGTTCAGCTTCCACGGTGTGGAGAGAACCGAATAGACCATTTTTTCTGTGAGGTGCCAGCCTTAATCAAACTGGCCTGTGTTGACACCTCCTTCAACGAGGCTTTGCTTGTTGCTTTTAGCGCAGTGTTCCTTATAGTACCACTAGGCCTCATTATGGTCTCTTATAGCTATATTGTGGTTGCTGTGTTGAGGATCCGCTCAGCAGAGAGCAGGCAGAAGGCCTTCAACACCTGTGCTTCCCACTTGATCGTGGTGTTGCTCTTTTATGGGACGGCCATCTTCAGCTACGTCCAGCCCGCGTCCAACTACTCCCGCGATCAGGGCAAGATGGTTTCCCTTTTCTATACATTTGTTGTCACCATGCTCAATCCCCTAATCTATACCCTGAGGAACAAAGAGGTGCACAAAGCTCTAAGAAGACTGACGAAGAGAACTTAAGACCAATGTCTCCCAACTCCATGCAGAGGCTCTGTGGTTATATTTTAATAAAAATAAATAAAACGTCACTGATCACTTATATGGCAACCAGAGCTTCTTTTTTATGTTGGATTGCCTGCACTTGATTGTGGTGTCACTCTTTTACCGGATGGCCATTTTCAGTGACCCCCACCTCCATCCAGCTACTCCAGCTACTTCCAACAATAAACTTTTTCTGGGCCTTCGCCTCCATTGGTGAAAGCCATCTGGGTGTCTTCCTTTCTAAGAGATCATTATATTTTATCCATACGTTGTACAGAGATTTCCTAATTACATGATTTTTGAAAGCATTATGGGCCTTTACTTTATCATACCATAGATATGCATGCCATCCAAACAAATTATCGAATCCCTCTAAATCTAAAACATCAGTGTCTTCTAGTTGTATCCATTCTTTAATCCAGCAAAAAGCAGCTGCCTCAAAATAGATTTTCAAATCTGGCAGGGAGAATCCCCCTCTTTCTTTAGAATCCCTAAGTAATTTATATTTATATTTAATTCTGGGTTTTCCCCCCTGCCAGATAAATCTAGATAAAGCTTTCTGCCATTCTTTAAAGCATTTCACATTGTCTATGATTGGGAGGGCTTGAAACAAAAAAAAAACAAAAAACACCTTTGGCAATACATTCATCTTAACCACTGAAATCCGGCCCATTAATGACAGTTTTAAATTTGACCATATCTCTAGGTCTCTCTTAATTTCATTCCATAGTTTCTCATAGTTCTCTTTATATAAGTTCAAGTTTTTCCGAGACAGATTCACACCCAAATACTTGACTTTTTTCACAAAATCTAGGCCCGTCTTTTCTTGTAATAGTTTTATTTCATCATTATCCAGATTTTTCTCTAATACTTTGGTTTTACTCTTATTTAACTTAAATCCCGCTACCTGCCCGAATTCCTGTATCAACTCCAGTGCTTTCACTGCACTGGAGTCTGGATCCTGTAATGTCAGTACTAAATTGTCAGCAAAGGAAGCAGCTCCTCTCCCTCCCTCCCTGCCGGCCAGGGAGGAGGGAGGCTCCAACTGTGTTGCTTGGCTGTGTTGCTCACCCAATAAGAAGTCTAAGAACGACTGGGGGTGGAGCTTGCATGCCTTGTGTGTGGCTAGTTAATGCAAGCTGAGGGGTTTTTTGAATGCTGGACGCCATTTTGTTGCACGTGCTGCTGCAAACTTTGCAGTGCAAAGCCAGGCTGGGGAGCCATTCTAAGTTGAGGCTGCATAGGCCTTGTGGTGCATGTGATTCAGATTCTATTCAGTTGAACTTCTGGTTACAAAGTTGGTTGGACAGTGTTCTCGAAGCTACCCAGCATGAGTTTGACCAGACTGCAGGAAGACAGGAAGACTGGAGTGCCTGGAACAGGTAAGGCTGCAGGTCCCTTATTTTGGCTGCTGGTCCCTTATTTTCAAAGCTGCTGGTCCCTTATTTTCAAATCTGTAAGTTGACAGCTATGCAGCTGAGTGAACCTAACGCAGCATCCTAGTGTAGCTATGAAAGTCCATAATGAGGCCTAGGGGTGCTACAAGGAATACTACACTGGAAGCAAAGAGCACCACCACATTCAGTGAGGTGTCAGAACAGGCCTATTTGACTGAGGCTGGCACCCAGGGCCAGCCCTATCATGGGGCAAACTAGATAACTGCCTAGGCCACAGACCTCAGAGGGGTGCAGTACAGACTGCAGTGTCCAGCCTGATTCATTGGCATATCCGGCAGTCAATTCAAAATTAAAAAGAAGCTCTGGTTAAGACAAAAAGTGCCACATAAGTGATCAGTGAGGTTTTATTTATTTTTTATTAAAATATAAACACACAGTCTCTGAACGGAGTTGGGAAACATTGGTCTTAAGTTTTCTTCATCAGTCTTCTTAGAGCTTTGTGTACCTCTTTGTTCCTCAGGGTATAGATTAAGGGATTGAGCATGGTGACAACAAATGTATAGAAAAGGGAAACCATCTTGCCCTGATCGCGGGAGTAGTTGGACGGGGGCTGGACATAGCTGAAGGTGGCCGTCCCATAAAAGAGTGACACCACGATCAAGTGGGAAGCACAGGTGTTGAAGGCCTTCTGCCTGCTCTCTGCTGAGCGGATCCTCAACACAGCAACCACAATGTAGCAATAAGAGACCATAATGAGGCCTAGTGGTACTATAAGGAAGACAGCACTAGAAGCAACAAGCAAAGCCTCATTGAAGGAGGTGTCAACACAGGCCAATTCGATTAAGGCTGGCACCTCACAGAAAAAATTGTCTATTCGGTTCTCTCCACACCGTGGGAGCCGAAGAGTCATCACCGACTCTACCACTGAGGTGCTTAGCCCACTAATCCAGGCAAAAGCAGCCATTTTGAAGCATACAGCGTGGCTCATAATGGTAGTGTAACGCAGTGGGTGGCAGACGGCAGCATAGCGGTCACAGGCCATGACAGCCAAAAGAATACATTCTGTGGAGCCCAGAGCGAGAGAGATGTAGAGCTGGGCCACACAGGCACCGTAACTGATGGTCTTGCTTCTCCTCCAAAAGTTCACCAGCATCTGTGGTCCAAGACTGGTAGTGAAGCAAAGATCAAGGAAGGAGAGGTTGCTGAGGAAGAAATACATAGGGGTGTGGAGATGGGGGTCCAGCCGCGACACCACCATGATGGTTGTGTTGCCCAGCAAGGTCATCGTGTAGCAGATCAGGACAAGACCAAAGAGCAACATCTCCAAGTGTGGGCGGTCAGCCACTCCCAGTAAGATGAATTCTCCTTCATGGCTCTGATTATCTCCCCACATTGCTTCCCTTTACAGCATCTGGGAAAGAAAAAAAGATATATAGCAAAATACCTACTGAAAATGGAGCTGGAATAAGCCGCTGGCACAAGAGCAATAGTGGCATCTTGGTATGGCTGAGATCACCCATGTACCATGTGTACAATGAGAAAACCTTCTAATTTTTACATGGTCTGATGCAGGGATAGCGTACCAGCATGTAAGGGTTGGGATGCTTATTGAAAATGGTAATGTTTTGTAGTGATCTAAAGAAGGCAAATTTAAAGTTGAGAATAATAAGATTGAACTAAAGTGCCAGCTACCATATGCTCCTATGTAAACCAGTGGTCAGCCACACTTGGAATACTGTGTACTATTCTGGTGGTCAAATGTAGACTTATGGTTAAAAATACGTAAAGACAAAGAGTATACAATAAAATGATCCAGGGTTGGAGACCTCCCTTATAAGGGAAAATCTGTTTAGAGAAATTTAACAAAGGTTGAATAACCTAATTGTATCAGCTTCAAATGCAAGTAACAGAAACACAAAAGCTCCTTTTTTGTTGCTGCTTGTATATAAAAGAAGGATCAACTTAAGGAGGGAGGAAGAATCTGTGATAAAGATGCTTAATCTGTCCCCCAACTTCATCTTAAAATATCCATCCCAGGCACTTTTCCCATACAGTGGTACCTTGGGTTACATACTCTTCAGGTTACATATGCTTCAGGTCACAGACTCCGCTAACCCAGAAATAGTACCTCGGGTTAAGAACTTTGCTTCAGGATGAGAACAGAAATCGTGCTCCGGCGGTGTGGCGGCAGTGGGAGGCCCCATTAGCTAAAGTGGTGCTTCAGGTTAAGAACAGTTTCAGGTTAAGAACGGACCTCTGGAACGAATTAAGTACTTAACCTGAGGTACCACTGTATACATTTCCAAGCACATGTCTCAAAACTTTGTGGGAGAGAAACTTTAGGAGGAAAAACAAGACAAGAAAATTGCTCACCAGCATATCATGAAAAGTGCTATTTCCCATGAACTGAAAAATGATAACAACAACAACAACAGCAACAAAACTTTTATTTGTATCCCGTCCTCCCCAGCCAAAACTGGGCTCAGGGTAATATCAAATATATCATTAGTATAAAGTCAAACAATAATTAAATTACCCACTAAAAACAAGTGTATTCAATATTATATCTCCATTCTTCTCTTCACATCCATCCTATAATTTATGGTCCCTTTCTCAAGATGACACTCCTCACACTACCTCACTAGGGCATGTCGTTTCAGGGGCTGAAACTTAATTTTTGCAAATTTATTCAGTGAAGGGTATTTCTGAGTTTAAGGAATTCAAATCTGCTATTATTTTTTGTGACTGGACAACATTTAGTTTGATGTCGACGTTTGATGAAGAAGCACCCAAACTACTTTTGGAAAACCAAATAATACTAATTTTATCATATAAAACAGCTTTAGATCCATTTCAGTCCGGTTTCCGTCCTGGTTTTGGGACCGAGACGGCTCTGGTTGCCCTAACAGATGATCTCTGTAGACAACTGGATCGAGGCGGGTCAGGACTGCTGATCCTTTTAGATTTGTCAGCAGCCTTTGACATGGTCGATCATGATCTTCTGGACCACCGCCTCGCAGATGTGGGGATACAGGGCATAGCCCGTAACTGGCTGTGTTCTTTTATCTCTGGTCGGGGACAGAGGGCGGCACTAGGGAGGGAAATGTTGTCGCACCATTCCTTGGTGTGTTGAGTGCTGCAGGGCACAATTCTCTCCCCGATGCTTTTTAACATCTTTATGCGCCCCCTTGCCCAGATTATCCGGAGCTTTGGGCTGGGCTGTCACCAGTATGCTGATGACACTCAGCTCTATCTGCTGATGGATGGCCACACCGACTCGGCCCCGAACACACTGACCAGATGCTTGGAAGCTGTGGCTGGATGGTTTCGTGGGAGCCGATTGAAACTAAATCCTTCGAAGACAGAGGTCCTCTGGCTGCGTCGGGATGGCATGGGGATGAGGGACCAACTCCCTTCTCTTGCAGGGGCCCAATTAGTGCCATTGCCTTCCGTTAAGAGTTTGGGTGTAATCCTTGACGCCTCCCTTTCCATGGAGGCACAAGTTACAGCAACAGCCAAGGCGACATTTTTCCACCTTCGCCGCATCAAGCAGTTGGTCCCTTACCTTTCCCGCCCCGACCTGGCCACAGTGATCCATGCGACGGTCACCTCCAGGCTTGACTACTGTAATTCGCTCTACGGGGGGCTGCCCTTGATGCTGACCCAGAAACTCCAGCGGGTGCAGAATGCTGCAGCGAGGCTCCTCACGGGGTCTCTGCCATGGGAGCATATTCACCCAGTGCTTTTTAAACTGCACTGGTTCCCGGTAGAGTACAGGGTCAGATTTAAGGTGCTGCTTTTGACCTTTAAAGCCCTTCACGGCCTCGTACCTACGGGACCGCCTCTCCCAGTATGCCCCACAGAGAGCCTCAAGGTCCATAAATAGCAACACCCTAGTGGTCCCAGGCCCTAAGGAAGTTAGATTGGCTTCAACCAGAGCCAGGGCCTTTTCAACTCTGGCTCCAGCCTGATGGAACTCTCTGTCTCATGAGACCAGGGCCCTGCAGGATCTGATTTCTTTCCGCAGGGCCTGTAAGACAGAGTTGTCCCGCCTGGCCTTTGGCTTGGAGCCAATTTGATTCTCTCCCTCTCTTTCTTTTTTCCTTTCCTTCTCCTCCTGCGATGAGGCTACATTTTAATATTTTAATGTTTCAATATTTTAATGTTGTATTTTAATTTTGTTTTTAAGTTGTAATCATTCAACTTGTTTTTATTATTGCTTGTAAGCCGCTCTGAGCCCGGCCTTGGCTGGGGAGGGCGGGGTATAAATAAAAATTATTATTATTATTATATAACTGCAAGTACTTGGCAATCAATTTTCATAATATCCATGCAATCTTACACCCGTTTTCCTTACCAAGCAAAACGAAATTGTATTAATTTAACCAAAATATCTTTTGAATTCCCAAGACATATTAAAACTTTTTTGCACCCCACATTTTTGGAATTTAACAGTTGAAAAATTCTATATACCCTACTATCTCACCCCTGTCACAGTGAGAAGTAAATTCATTATGTCTAGGTCAGTTTTACACACTGGATATCCTTTTATTTATTTAATATGTGTATAGCCCACACTGCATTCTGAGATCTTTGGCTGGGGAAAATAAAATAAGATTTGCAAAGAAGAATATTAACAACAACAAAAATCTATCCCATGGAGTGGTCCATAGCTTGGTTTCTTGGTCTGCTATGACAGTCTGTATTGAGAGAGCAAGTGGCTCCACCTTGGGCCAAGGAAACTCTCACAGAGCTCACTCTGGATGCAACTCCAGGTCATCAAGAGGGTATTGTGTAGAAAATACCAGGGGTAGCCTGGGGCAGTCATAAAATTGCCTTATAGCCAACACGAGCATTAGTCCAGCTATTTCAGCATTACACAGTATTCTCCATGCTTGAGTTCCTGGGTGTTGTTGGACTACTACTCCCACCAAGACCCAGACGCTTTAGCCAATGGTGATGGATGATGGGAGTTGCAGTCCAACAGCTCTGGGGATTGAAGCTTGAAGGACACCGGTCTAGTCTGAGAGGCAGCAGCTGTCAAGATTGCAGACCCGGCTCTCTGCAAGCCCGTTCAAGAGATGTCAAAGTTTGAAGCTGGAACCTTCTGCATGCAAAGCAGATGCTCCACCACTGAGCCCTTCCTATGTGACTAGAGGGGGGCAGAAGGGAAGATGGCGACTGGGGGAGACACCCAAGAGGATGAGCCAAGCAAAAAGAAGCACACACTGAACCACACTGATAAGAAATCTTTTCTAAAAAGCAGAGAGTAAGAACATCCAGTATGTGTATGAGTTTGTGAAGGGGAGAGGGTCAAGGGGGAAAAGACAGGAGGAGACTGACAGAGAAAGAGAAAGAGATGCAGATTCTCTTACATCTGGAGGCATCTCCATAATGATCAATGTAAATCGTGGTAGCAAAAGAGAAAGGCTCTCTGCAACTCTTACCCTGAGCGGCTTGGCTAATTCAGTCCAGCTCCTTGCCTCTTCTGCCTCAGCATTGTGTCCCATACTATATGTTGATACCGGCACATATACATGACCATAGTAGTCTGATCTCTCTATCTCAAAAGGGGCCTTCAGGGGACAGGACAAATGATTTTATGATGTTATCCAGGAGGATGGGAGAGGTGGAGGAAATTGCTCTCTCTCCCCTTCTTCAGCAGCTCTCTGAGGAACCATCATGAAGCCCCATAAGGGCCAGAACTCTGGCTCGATAATTAAGGGGAAACTACATGTTACCCTTCAGTCATGAGCAAAGAAGCCCCAAAGGACCTGGCTCCCCTTCCCTTGCACAGCGTCCTCTGGAGGCTGTGACTTGCACCAGGGAAGGGATGGAAAAGAGAACACTACTTAACTCCTTAGGGGGCAAAACTCTTTGAATTAACTAGCTATGCAGAACCTTTCAAAGTTGGCTGGAGAAATTTATTTCATTGCATATGGGTATTTCTGGGTATTCCAATTAGCTGTTAGGAGACCTCATGTGGTGTTACATTTAGGGAACTGGATTTAGTTCGAGGGGAGATCAAACTATGGGCATGGGGCCCATAGGCCGGTGACTACTGCGAGATAAAAAACACTGGTTCTGAAGACAATGTCCCATGACCCTTTAAAATGAATTCTGAACAAAATTGGTGAAGTAGCCAAAAGGATTATTGAAAGAAAAACATCATTTCAAGATAGGTGACCAAGGCAGGCACACCTTGTTCAGGGAGTCACAAGCATTTTATCCTTTCCCTGAGTGCAAAAATTCCTCCTCTATGCGCCCACCAGGAAGGGGCATGGAAAGTTTACAGCCTATCGCGTCCGCCTTATTAACATATAACCATCCTACTTCCCCTTGTGAATCATTGTACAGATATGGTCAGAAGCCCCCTTACAAAAATCTATTGACGTGAGCAGTATCTATTTTCTTTCCACAAGCTGTCCTATTTACACGTGTTAACCATTTTATTTGTTCTTAATGAGAGCAGAAGCTAGTTTCATATCTGATAAAGCTAAAACGGCAAATCACAATTTGCTTACCAATGGTTCTAGTCCTAGGTGTAAGAGGGTCTTTGCCCTGCCAGATCTTAAACTTTATTATGAATCAGCTGCTTTTGCTGGCTGAGAGAATGGCTGCTTCTTGAAAACACTGACGTGTTGGATTTAGAAGGTTTCAATAATGTATTTGGCTGGCATGCATATTTGTGGTACGATAAGGTAAAAGCACATAAAGCGTTTAAAAATCATATTGTTATAAAAGCATTGTTTAATGTTTGGATAAGATATAAGGATTTGTTAGAAAAGAAAACCCCAAGATGGTTGTCACCAATGGAAGCTAAGGCACAGAAAAAACTCAATATGGAGGCCAAATGGCCGAAATATTGGGAAATTCTGGATCAAGATGGAGACAGAATAAAATTGCAGAGCTTTGAAAATTGAAAAATAAAGTGCGAGATTACCAAATAATGGAGGCATACAATTTGGACAAAAAAGTTGGTTTCCAGGTGGAAAAATCAAAATTGGAAACAGAATTGTTAGATCCAAAAATTAAGAATTTGTCAAGAATGTATAACTTGCTGTTGAAATAGAACACTCAGGATGAAATGGTGAAATCAGCTATGATTAAATGGGCACAAGATGTTGGACATAACATAATGATGGCTGACTGGGAACAGTTATGGACCACAGGTATGAAATTCACGGCATGTAATGCCCTAAGAGAAAATTTAATGAAAATGTTGGAAATGTAATGAGACTGAAGGTACATTCTTTCACCTTTGGTGGACATGCCCAAGGATTAAGACATTCTGGGATATGATTTATAACGAAATGAAAAAGGTATTAAAATATACCTTCCTGAAGAAACCAGAGGCCTTTCTCCTGGGCATGGTCGGCCAATTGGTGCCAAAGAAGGATAGAACTTTTTTTATGTATGTAACAACAGCAGCAAGAATACTCATCGCGAAGTATTGGAAGACACAAGATTTACCCACCCAGGAAGAATGGCAGATGAAGTTGATGGACTATATGGAACTGGCGGAAATGACTGGCAGAATCCAAGACCAGGGAGAAGAGTCGGTGGAAGAAGACTGGAAAAAGTTTAAAGACTATTTACAGAAATACTGTAAAATTAGTGAATGTTAGAAAAATGTTGAAATGAAGTTATATGGCTTTAGTAGAAATGTTATAAGGAATTAAGTATAAATAGATTAATAGAGAATTAAAGGGAAAAATAAGGTTAGAATGTGTTAAGATAGGCTTCCAGGTGGAAAGATCCAAATTAGAAACCGAACTGTTAGAACCCAAAACTAAGAATTTGTCAAGAATGTATAACTTGCTGCTGAAATGGAATACTCAGGATGAAACGGTAAAATCGGCTATGATTAAATGGGCACAAGATGTTGGACATAACATTATGTTTGCTGACTGGGAACAGTTGTGGACCACAGGTATGAAATTTACGGCATGTAATGCCTTAAGAGAGAATATTATGAAAATGATATACAGGTGGTACATAACCCCAGTCAAGCTTGCAAAAATTTATCATTTGCCCGATAACAAATGTTGGAAATGTAAGGAAATTGAAGGTACATTTTTTCACCTTTGGTGGACGTGCCCAAAGATCAAGGCTTTCTGGGAAATGATATATAATGAATTAAAAAAGGTATTTAAATATACCTTCCCTAAGAAACCAGAGGCCTTTCTCCTGGGCATAGTCGGCCAAATGGTGTTAAAAGGATAGAACTTTCTTTATGTATGCAACAACAGCAGCAAGAATACTCATCGCAAAGTATTGGAAGACACAAGAACTTCCCACGCTGGAGGAATGGCAGATGAAATTAATGGACTATATGGAACTGGCGGAAATGACTGGTAGAATCCGTGACCAGGAGAAGAGTTGGTGGAGGAAGATTGGAAGAAATTCAAAGACTATCTTCAGAAACATTGCAAAATTAAAGAATGTTAGAGTGATGTTGGACTGAATATAAGCGGTTTCCAGCTGTACAGGTTAAAGTTAATGATAGACTAAGATTAGTTTAAGATTAAAGATTAGGTTTAAAGATGTTTAAGGAAATGGAAACTTGACAATTAAGAGGTAAAATTTCAATGTTTTATTACATTAAGATCAAAGATTAGGTTTAAAGAAGTTGAAGTTATATATCATATTAAAATTAAAGATTGGGATTAAAAAAAGTGGAAAAGAAATTGCTGGACAAACAAATTGGATTGGAATACAAAAGAGGGAGGTATGTGGAAGTCCAGAAAATAAGTAAATTCAAAAACGGAAATGGAAAAGAGATATTGTTTTTAATTGTTATGCTGTTTTTTATTGTTGATTTTTGCTTTTCGTGTTTTTTTTTTATTTTCTTTCTGGGATTTGTATTGTGTATTTGTGTATCTGTTTTATGGTTTTTTTTGTTTTTTTGTTGTTGTTTAATTTTTGATTGAAACTTTAATAAAAATTATTTAAAAAAAATAGAATGTGTTAAGATAATTATAGGATAGAAAACAGAGGAAGATGGAAAGGAATTGCTGAAGCAATTAACAGAAGTGGAATACAAAAAGGGAGGTGTGAGGAGGTCGTGGAAATAAGTGAATGAAAGATAAGATATTGAAATTGTTTGATGTGTTTAACTGTTTTTGTTTTGTTTTGTTAGTTTAATGTGTTAGTGTTATGTAGTGTTTTTGTATTGTATTGTATTGTTTTTGTAGTGTTTAAATTGTTGGAAAAGTAATAAATATTATTATTATTATTATTTTTAAAACGAATTTTTGCGCTCAGGGAAAGGATAAAATGCTTGTGACTCCCTGAACAAGGTGTGCCTGCCTTGGTCACCTATCTTGAAATGATGTTTTTCTTTCAATAATCCTTTTGGCTACTTCACCAATTTTGTTCAGAATTCATTTTAAAGGGTCATGGGACATTGTCTTCAGAACCAGTGTTTTTTATCTCGCAGTAGTCACCGGCCTATGGGCCCCATGCCCATAGTTTGATCTCCCCTCGAACTAAATCCAGTTCCCTAAATGTAACACCACATGAGGTCTCCTAACAGCTAATTGGAATACCCAGAAATACCCATATGCAATGAAATAAATTTCTCCAGCCAACTTTGAAAGGTTCTGCATAGCTAGTTAATTCAAAGAGTTTTGCCCCCTAAGGAGTTAAGTAGTGTTCTCTTTTCCATCCCTTCCCTGGTGCAAGTCACAGCCTCCAGAGGACGCTGTGCAAGGGAAGGGGAGCCAGGTCCTTTGGGGCTTCTTTGCTCATGACTGAAGGGTAACATGTAGTTTCCCCTTAATTATCAAGCCAGAGTTCTGGCCCTTATGGGGCTTCATGATGGTTCCTCAGAGAGGAACTCTCCCATCTCTCCCATCCTCCTGGATAACATCATAAAATCATTTGTCCTGTCCCCTGAAGGCCCCTTTTGAGATAGAGAGATCAGACTACTATGGTCATGTAGATGTGTCGCTACCAACAGATAGTATGGGACACAATGCTGAGGCAGAAGAGCCAAGGCACTGGACTAAATTAGGCAAGCCGCTCAGGGTAAGAGTTGCAGAGAGCCTTTCTCTTTTGCTACCACGATTTACATTGATCATTATGGAGATGCCTCCAGATGTAAGAGAATCTGCATCTCTTTCTCTTTCAGTCTCCTCCTGTCTTTTCCCCCTTGACCCTCTCCCCTTCACAAACTCATACACATACTGGATGTTCTTACTCTCTGATTTTTTAAAAAAGATTTCTTATCAGTGTGGCTCAGTGTGTGCTTCTTTTTGCTTGGCTCATCCTCTCTGGGTGTCTCCCCCAGTCGCCATCTTCCCTTCTGCATCCCCTCTAGTCACATAGGAAGGGCTCAGTGGTGGAGCATCTGCTTTGCATGCAGAAGGTTCCAGCTTCAAACTTTGACATCTCTTGAACGGGCTTGCAGAGAGCCGGGTCTGCAATCTTGGACAGCTGCTTCCTCTCAGACTAGACCGGTGTCCTGCAAGCTTCAATCCCCAGAGCTGTTGGACTGCAACTCCCATCGTCCATCACCATTGGCTAAGGCGTCTGGGTCATGGTGGGAGTAGTAGTCCAACAACACCCAGGAACTCAAGCACGGAGAATACTGTGTAATGCTGAAATAGCTGGACTAATGCTCGTGTTGGCTATAAGGCAATTTTATGACTGCCCCAGGCTACCCCTGGTATTTTCCACACAATAGCTTCTTCATGACCTGGAGTTGCATCCAGAGTGAGCTCCGTGAGAGTTTCCTTGGCCCAAGGTGGAGCCACTTGCTCTCTCAATACAGACTGTCATAGCAGACCAAGAAACCAAGCTATGGACCACTCCATGGGATAGATTTTTGTTGTTGTTATTATTATTCTTTGCAAATCTTATTTTATTTTCCCCAGCCAAAGATCTCAGAATGCAGTGTGGGCTATACACATATTAAATAAATAAAAGGATATCCAGTGTGTAAAACTGACCTAGCCGTAATGAATTTACTTCTCACTGTGACAGGGGTGAGATAGTAGGGTATATAGAATTTTTCAACTTTTACATTCCAAAAATGTTGGGTACAAAAAAGTTTTAATATGTCTTGGGAATTCAAAAGATATTTTGGTTAGATTAATACAATTTAGTTTTCCTTGGTAAGTAAAATGGGTGTAAGATTGCATGGATATTATGAAAATTGATTGCCAAGTACTTGCAGTTATATATATTATATGATAAAATTAGTATTATTTGGTTTTCCAAAAGTAGTTTATGTGCTTCTTCATCAAACATTGACATCAAACTAAGTGTTGTCCAGTCACAAAAAATAATAGCAGATTTGAATTCCTTACACTCAGAAATACCCTTCACTGAATAAATTTGCAAAAATTAAGTTCCACCCCCTAAAATGACATGCCCTAGTGAGGTAGTGTGAGGAATGTCATCTTGAGAAAGGGACCATAAATTATAGGATGGATGTGAAATGAAGAGAATAGAATAGAGATATAATATTGAATACACTTGTTTTTAGTGGGTAATTTAATTATTGTTTGATTTTATACTAATGTTATATATTTGATATTAGCCGCCCTGAGCCCAGTTTTGGCTGGGGAGGACGGGATACAAATAAAAGTTTATTTATTGTTGCTGTTGTTGTTGTTATCATTTTTCAGTTCATGGGACATGGCATTTTTTATGATATGCTGGTGAGCAATTTTCTTGTCTTGTTTTTCCTCCTAAAGTTTCTCTCCCTCAAAGTTTTGAGACATGTGCTTGGAAATGTATACAGTGGTACCTCAGGTTAAGTACTTAATTCATTCCGGAGATCCGTTCTTAACCTGAAACTGTTCTTAACCTGAAGCACCACTTTAGCTAATGGGGCCTCCTGCTGCTGCCGCACCACTGGAGCACGATTTCTGTTCTCATCCTGAAGCAAAGTTCTTAACCCGAGGTACTATTTCTGGGTTAGCGGAGTCTGTAACCTGAAGTGTATGTAACCTGAAGCGTATGTAACCTGAAGAGTATGTATGTATGTAAGAGTACAAGCAGCAAGAAAAAAGCAGCTTTTGTGTTTCTGTTACTTGCATTTGCAGCTGATACAATTAGGTTATTCAACCTTTGTTAAGTTTCTCTAAACAGATTTTCCCTTATAACGGAGGTCTCCAACCCTGGATCATTTTATTGTATACGCTTGTCTTTACATATTTTTAACCGCAAGTCTGCATTTTTCTAAGGTTTGACCACCAGAATAGTACACAGTATTCAAAGTGTGGCTGACCACTGGTTTACAAATGAGCATATGATAGCTGGTACTTTATTTCAATCTAATTATTTTCAACATTAATTTGGCTTCTTTAGATTGAAGGAATGGGTTTTTGTGTAGTAAGTTTAAAAACTGACTCAACCCCCCCTTTTGTTCTTTCAAAAGAGAGCACTTTTAAATGCGTAAAATTGAACTGTTGAGCAAAACCATACTAAGGACACAACTGCATAAACAGTTCTGTCCTTTATCAGGACAGGCAAGGCATGGCCTTGGCTCCCCAGGGAACAACGAAAACACGTCAGAACTTTATCTTATGTGCCAACCACAAAATACACACAAGACCAATGTCCGGGGAAAACGCCAAAAGCATGTTCCCGAAGATTATGACGTCCCCCCCCCCCCCCCCAGATAAGAGTAGGAAGAAGAAGATCCTTTTATGGTCAGAAGTACAGGAAGGAAAATCCTTTTATGGCTGAGAGTACCAGAGCAGGAACATATGTGATGTCAACCTGTGTATACAAGTTGACGTGGCTGGGGAAGGGGGAGAGGATGCCTGGAGAGTATATAAACTGCATGAAACCTGTCGTTTCTTTGGACTTGCTGTGGACTTTATCACGCAAGTGCCTTCTGCTATCCGGAGAGCAGAATAAACTCTTTCTTTGAATCAACCTCAGGAGTCGTTTGACTTCCTTCCTCCTGTCCCGGAGAAACGCAGACCCAATCGGTGAATTCCAGTAAGGCTACAAGATCACTATAAAATATTATCATTTTCAGTAAGCATCCCAACCCTTACGTGCAGGTACCCTATCCCTGCATCAGGCCATGTAAAAATTAGAAGGTTTTCTCATTGTACACATGGTACATGGGTGATCTCAGCCATACCAAGATGCCACTATTGCTCTTGTGCCAGCGGCTTATTCCAGCTCCATTTTGAGTAGGTATTTTGCTATATATCTTTTTTTCTTTTCCAGATGTTGTACAGGGAAGCAATGTGGGGAGATAATCAGAGCCATGAAGGAGAATTCATCTTACTGGGAGTGGCTGACCGCCCACACTTGGAGATGTTTCTCTTTGGTCTTGTCCTGATCTGCTACACAATGACCTTGCTAGGCAACATGACCATCATTGTGGTGTCACGGCTGGACCCCCATCTCCACACACCCATGTATTTCTTCCTCAGCAACCTCTCCTTCCTTGATCTTTGCTTCACCACTAGTGTGGCCCCACAGATGCTGGTGAACTTCTGGAGGAAAAGCAAGACCATCAGTTACAGTGCCTGTGTGGCCCAGCTCTACATCTTCCTTGCTCTGGGCTCCACAGAATGTATTCTTTTGGCTGTCATGGCCTGTGACCGCTATGCTGCCGTCTGCCACCCACTGCGTTACACTACCATTATGAGCCACGCTGTATGCTTCAAAATGGCTGCCGTCGCATGGATTAGTGGGCTAAGCACCTCAGTGGTGGAGTCGGTGATGACTCTTCGGCTCCCACGGTGTGGAGAGAACCGAATTGACAATTTTTTCTGTGAGGTGCCAGCCTTAATCGAATTGGCCTGTGTTGACACCTCCTTCAATGAGGCTTTGCTTGTTGCTTCTAGTGCTGTCTTCCTTATAGTACCACTAGGCCTCATTATGGTCTCTTATAGCTATATTGTGGTTGCTGTGTTGAGGATCCGCTCAGCAGAGAGCAGGCAGAAGGCCTTCAACACCTGTGCTTCCCACTTGATCGTGGTGTCACTCTTTTATGGGACGGCCACCTTCAGCTATGTCCAGCCCCCATCCAACTACTCCCGTGATCAAGGCAAGATGGTTTCCCTTTTCTATACATTTGTTGTCACCATGCTCAATCCTCTAATCTATACCCTGAGGAACAAAGAGGTACACAAAGCTCTAAGAAGACTGATGAAGAAAACTTAAGACCAATGTTTCCCAACTCCGTTCAGAGACTGTGTGTTTATATTTTAATAAAAAATAAATAAAACCTCACTGATCACTTATGTGGCACTTTTTGTCTTAACCAGAGCTTCTTTTTAATTTTGAATTAACTGCCGGATATGCCAATGAATCAGGCTGGACACTGCAGTCTGTACTGCACCCCTCTGAGGTCTGTGGCCTAGGCAGCTATCTAGTTTGCCCCATGATAGGGCTGGCCCTGGGTGCCAGCCTCAGTCAAATAGGCCTGTTCTGACACCTCACTGAATGTGGTGGTGCTCTTTGCTTCCAGTGTAGTATTCCTTGTAGCACTCCTAGGCCTCATTATGGACTTTCATAGCTACACTAGGATGCTGTGTTAGGTTCACTCAGCTGCATAGCTGTCAACTTACAGATTTGAAAATAAGGGACCAGCAGCCTTGAAAATAAGGGACCAGCAGCCAAAATAAGGGACCTGCAGCCTTACCTGTTCCAGGCACTCCAGTCTTCCTGTCTTCCTGCAGTCTGGTCAAACTCATGCTGGGTAGCTTCGAGAACACTGTCCAACCAACTTTGTAACCAGAGGTTCAACTGAATAGAATCTGAATCACATGCACCACAAGGCCTATGCAGCCTCAACTTAGAATGGCTCCCCAGCCTGGCTTTGCACTGCAAAGTTTGCAGCAGCACGTGCAACAAAATGGCGTCCAGCATTCAAAAAACTCCTCAGCTTGCATTAACTAGCCACACACAAGGCATGCAAGCTCCACCCCCCAGGCGTTCTTAGACTTCTTATTGGGTGAGCAACACAGCCAAGCAACACAGTTGGAGCCTCCCTCCTCCCTGGCCGGCAGGGAGGGAGGGAGAGGAGCTGCTTCCTTTGAAATTTAAGGGACATCATTTAAGGGACATTTAAGGACATCCATCAATAAGGGACAGCAGCGGGACATGGCGCTGGAATAAGGGACTGTCCCTTCAAATAAGGGACACTTGACAGCTATGCTCAGCTGAGGGGAGTCAAAAGGCCTTCAACACCTGTGCCTTCCACTTGATTGTGGTGTCGCTGTTTTATGGGGCGGCCATTTTCAGTTACCTTAACCCCCGGTCCAACTATTCTTGTGACCAGGCAAGATGGTTTCCTTTTTCTATACATTTGTTGTCACCACGCTTAATGCACATGTCCTTTTTTTAAAACTTTGTGTTTTAGTGCCCTTCCCCATTTTGCTCCAGAACATTCACCACAGAAAACACTCTTTAAAGCAAAAGGTCATTCAGGCGCAGATTTAAAACATGGACCATGTCTGGAAAGCGTGGAGGAAAGCTAAAAGTGGATAAGCTCAAAGAGAGCACAACAACCACCCTCTCCAGTTGTGGTTCCTGGCAACTGATATTTAGAGCCTGAATGCCATGTTTATTGTAATGTCTACATTCACCTTCAGAGTCCAGGTGCATTCATTTTAAGGTTGAATGGTAACTGCTGGCGCCTATTAGGTACGTTCTCCTTCCTCCCTAGCAGCATTATTTATTGAGAAGTTACATTTGGAGGTGTGCAATGAGAACTAATATCCTTTAAAAAAAATAAAAATAAAAAAGATTGCCATTAATACGACCATTGGGTTCATGGGAATAAAATGGAGGATAAAATGTCCTTCCTACAGATCTACTGTATGGGACATGGGCGGCGCTGTGTGTTAAACCACAGAGCCTAGGGCTTGCCGATCAGAAGGTCGGCGGTTCGAATCCCCGCGACGGGATGAGCTCCCATTGTTCGGTCCCTGCTCCTGCCAGCCTAGCAGTTTGAAAGCATGTCAAAGTGCAAGTAGATAAATAGGTACCGCTCTGGCGGGAAGGTAAACGGTGTTTCCGTGCGCTGCTCTGGTTCACCAGAAGCGGCTTAGTCATGCTGGCAACATGACCCGGAAGCTGTACGCCGGCTCCCTTGGCCAATAAAGCGAGATGAGCGCCGCAACCCCAGAGTCAGTCACAACTGGACCTAATGGTCAGGGGTCCCTTCACCTTTACAGATCTACTGTAAGGCCAAAGATGGGACGGTAAGGAAGGTGGGAAAAACAGTGTCAAACTGGTTCTGCAGGATGCAAGTCACCCCCACCAAAGTAGCAATAATGCCACATGGCTGGTTCACATCACACAATGACAATCAGCAGCCATAAAATGCATTAAACAGAAAAGTAGTGTGTTGGTGTGGGGTGTGTGTGCTAAGCCGGAAGATCTTGGATTGGAAGGTCAAATTAAGGGCCCCTGCAGCTGTCCTTTTTAACACACATTCATAGCTCTTTGTGCTCCGGATGCTTTTGGGGTGGTCACATACAATCCAACAACAACAACAATTTTATATGTACCCTGCCCATCTGGCTGGGTTGCCCAAACCATGCTGATTGCACCTGCAGAATTTGGGGGGCAGGGCAGTCACACTGCTGCATTTCCATTCATTGCAAACTTCCTGTTGAAATATTCTATACCACAAATGTTTGTTGTAAGGGGTTTCTCCCAGATTTGTTATGCTATAGCCCCAGCAGTTATGTGGCAACACTGAGGAAGCATCACAGAACAACCTGAAGCAAATTTTTTATGCTACTACTAATCAGTGCTTTTTTCCTCGGGGGGCGCAGGGGTACGCATACCCCTAAACATTTTGTGAATCTAAGTTTGGCCTCATTGAGGGGCAGTATTTCAATATGAGTAGGAAATTGAGAGCACCCCTAAACAGTTTTTTAGGAGGGAAAAAGCACTGCCACTAATACACAATGATGGTGTCAAAAACATGTTGCAGAATATCACTGACAGTGCCTTGAATAGCATTACATCACCACAAGTGGGGGTGAACTGTGTCGTATGCATAGCAAGGAGACAAAAAGCCAAGGGGGAGAAAAATCAAATGTAGATCAATTCCTAGTGAATTTTGTGGCTGTATGATGATGTGAACCCAGATCCCCCCCTTGGACTAAAACTAGTCCTCTAAATGTGACACCAACACGAGGTGTCCAAAGAGCAAATTGGAGTACACAGAAATATCAATATGCAATGAAATAAATTTATCCGACCAACAGTTTCCATATAGCTAGTTGATTCAAAGACTTTTGCTCCCTAAGGAGTTAAGTAGTATTTTACTTTCCAGGTCTTCCCTCATGCAAGTCACAGGCTCCAGAGGACATTGCGCAAGCGAGGAGGAGGAGAGTCCTTTGAGCCTTTGTAAAAATTTCCCCTAATTATTGAGTCTGAGTTCTGTTCCATCTGCGGCTCCATGGTGGTTCTTCAGGGAGCTGCTGAAGATGGGGGTGGATAGCAACTTGCTCCACCACCTCCCTGCTGGATAACATCATAAAGTCACTTCTCCTGACTCCAGAAGGCCCCTTTTGAGAGAGATTGTGCTAGTATGGTCATTTAGATGTGCAGGTACTAACAGATACTATGGGACATAGTGCTGAGACAGAAGGGCCCAGGCGCTGGACTGAATTAGGCAAGCCAACCCAAGTAAGAGTTTTCTGGAGGGAGTATTTCCCTTTTTCTTCCACCTTTTGCATTGATCATTATGCAGATGTCTCCAAATATATGCATAGCTGTCAACTTTCAGATTTCAAAATAAGGGATTAGCAGCCTCGAAAATAAGGGATCAGCAGCCTCACCTGTCCCGGGGACAGTCTACGGGATATCTAACAATCCGGGATAGCAGCGGGAAGCAGCGGGAAACGGCGCTGGAATAAGGGAATTTCCCGCAAAAAAAGGGAAGGTTGACAGCTATGAATATATGAGATTCTGCATCCCTGTCTCCTGCTTTGAGCTGTCTCCCTTGACACTCTCCCCCTGAATGCCCTTTCTCTTCATTCAATCTTATTTCATTCTTCATCTGATTCAACTATTTCTGTACAGAGCAGCCTTCCCTGGTGTGGTGCCTGCCAGATGTTTTCAGCAACAACTCCCATCAATGCCAGTTGACAAGACTAATAGTTAAGAGGCAAGAGAGTTTTAGTCTTAAATATCTGGAGGGCATCGGGTTTGGACAATGAGGGCGTCAAGGCTAAATGTTTAATTCATTCATTTTCTTTGCAAATATAAACTTAGGTGAACTGCTCGCTCTCCCCTCTCCGAGTCAGTCTTATAATCTCATCTCCCTGGCATCCTCCCTCAGGCCTTTCCTTCACAGTGTAAGCATTGCCCAACAAGTCGACCGCGGTCAACTCGTGGATCATCTGACTGATTTCTGTCGATCGCAGCCCAACTTCTCTGTGAGGCAGCACGCTCCTCTAGAATGGCGCACGCGCCTAACAAAGGCAGAAGGAGAACGAGAAGTGAGCCGGCTTGAGGCAGGAGGCGGGAGGAAGGAGGGGTACGCAGACGGAGAGGCGCGCGCTCCTACTGGCTTCTCAGAGAGAGAACTTTCGCCTCCATTTCCTTCCCCCCGCAACTTAAACTCCCCCCTCCCGTGTCCATTTAGCCACCGCCTTCCACACAGGCATGCACGCTTCTTATCCTTCCAGTTTCTGTTAATCGAGCCTGTATTTGGCTGGTTTGGATGGCGCTGGTGCTGACCTGAGCAGGCAACGCAGACGTCACTGGCCCACCTCAGAGCTGTGCGGAGGGGGCTTGGGCATAAGCCAGGGGTCAGCAAACTTTATCAGCAGGGGTCCGGTCCACTGTCCCTCGGACCTTGTGGGGGGCCGGGCTATATTTTTTTGGGGGGGAAGAATGATTTCCTATGCCCCACAAATAACCCAGAGATGCATTTTAAATAAAAGGACACATTCTACTCATGTAAAAACATGCTGATTCTCAGACCGTCCGCTGGCCAAATTTAGAAGGTGATTGGGCCGGATCCAGCCCCTGGGCCTTAGTTTGCCTACCTATGCACTATAGCATGGACTTGACTTATGTAACCCTTGAGGATATAGTTCATCCCGTAGCTATGGTCTGGGTAGGAAAACCAGTCAGAAGAGCTAAAGAATCACCTCGGGGTCATGTGTGGGGAATCTTGCACTTGACTGTCCCTTCACATCCCACAGGGGTCCCTTCCAACACTACAGTTCTATGATTCTATGAAAATACTGTTACGAGTTTGAGGGGGGACAGGCTGTATGCCTGGGCCCCTTCTAATTCCTGGATCCAGCATGGATTCAGTTCTTGGACTAGCTAGACCAGCCTGGTAATGAACCACTAAGTACGATTTAAGGTAACACAGGCAGTGGCTCTGTGCAAATGGGTGGGTGTCCCTCCCTCAACTACCTGCTAGCCAGGAAGACCAAGGCCAGAGTGCAGAATTGAGTTAGGAGAGCTAGAAGCTGGAGAAAAAGCTACATGCTAGAAAGACAGAGGGAGAGTCATACCTGATTTCTACTGGAATCCAAGGCTGTGGCTATGGGAGAAGGAAGACCCTCTTGGAGTGTAATGCTGCCAACCCCTCCATCATAAGCCCAGGTGGTATATATGTGCAAAGAAACCATCTCTATTAAAGACACCACCGTCTCCGCTGTCCCTCAGTCCAAGGAAATGGAACCCTGGGTAAGCATCTGGGACCCTTTGGATATTCAAGGGGCATGCAACAATACTGTTGAAAGCAAAGCTACACCTTGTCTTCATGTTGATTAAATGTGTATTGACTGGGGATGGAGGAGACATTTGACTGAGCTTGTATTTTGAAATGAAGTTACGTAATTTGCTCCTTCTGAAAAAAATATGCTAACCTAAAGACGGCCATTCTTTGAAATTCACACAGCGCAGCTCTCTAGTCAAGTCATGTGTATAAAACTGCATACAGCGGTACGTCGGGTTAAGTACTTAATTCGTTCTGGAGTTCTGTTCTTAACCTGAAACTGTTCTTCACCTGAAGCACCACTTTAGCTAATGGGGCCTCCTGCTGCTGCTGCTGCCGCCGCGCCGCCGGAGCCCGATTTCTGTTCTTGTCCTGAAGCAAAATTCTTAACCTGAAGCACTATTTCTGGGTTAGCGGAGTGTGTAACCTGAAGCTTATGTAACCTGAAGCGTATGTCACCCGATGTACCACTGTATAAGTCTGCACCCTATTCTTCTGACAATCATCTGGTGTAAATGTTGTTGTTATTTTTTAAAAAAATAGTAGATTACATTTGGCCCTCCAGATGTTGGTGAACTACAACTCCCATCATCCCAGTATTTGGCCATGCTTGCTGGGACTGAACAGAATTGTGCTTCAGCAACATATGGAGGGCTAAATGTTAAGTCATGTAAACATGAGAAGGTTTTCTTGTACACATGATTCCTGGTATATATTCATACTACAAAGATTCAGAAGCAGTTTGGGTAGAGAGTACACTTAACTGGAGCTTGGATTTAGAGAATGGGGACTAGTCTCATGTCCAAGAATGAGAATCATTGGGTGATTACAGTCTTGCTACCATGCCACTATTGCTTTTGTGCCAACTGTTTATCCGAGCTCCATTTTGAGTAGGTGTTTTGCTATTTTTGTTCCTTCCTTTTCTAGATAATGTACAGGGAAGCATTGTGGGAAGAAGGTAATCAGAGCTATGAAGGAGAATTCATTTTACTGGGAGTGGCTGACCGCCCACGCTTGGAGATGTTGCTCTTTGGTCTTGTCCTGGTGTGCTACACGATTACCTTGCTGGGTAATACAACCATCATTGTGGTGTCGCGACTGGACCCCCATCTCCACACCCCTATGTATTTCTTCCTCACCAATCTCTCTGTCCTTGATCTGTGCTTCACCACTAGTGTGGGCCCTCAGATGCTGGTGAACTTCTGGAGGAAAAGCAAGACTATCAGTTATGGTGCCTGTGTGGCCCAGCTCTACATCTTCCTCGCTCTGGGCTCCACAGAATGTGTTCTTTTGGTTGTCATGGCCTACGACCGCTATGCTGCCGTTTGCCACCCGCTGCGCTACACTACCATTATGAGCCACTCTGTATGCTACAAAATGGCGGCGGCTGCCTGGGTTAGTGGCCTTTGCAACCCAGTGATGGAGACAGTGATGACTCTTCGGCTCCCACGGTGTGGAGAGAACCGAATAGACAATTTTTTCTGTGAAGTGCCAGCCTTAATCAAACTGGCCTGCGCTGACACCTCGCTCACTGAGGCTGTGCTCTTTACTTCCAGTGTGCTGTTCCTTGTAGCACCCGTAGGCCTCATTATGGTCTCTTATAGCTTCATTGTGGCTGCTGTGTTAAGGATCCGCTCAGCTGAGGGCAGGCGGAAGGCCTTCAACACCTGTGCTTCCCACTTGACTGTCGTGTCTCTCTTTTTTGGAACAGCCCTTTTCACTTACCTGCAGCCCCCGTCCAACAGTACCCATGACCAGGCCAAGATGGCCTCCCTTTTCTATACATTTGTTACCACTATGCTCAATCCACTCATTTATACCCTGAGGAACAAAGAGGTGCACAAAGCTCTAAGAAGATTGATGAAGAGAACTTAAGTCCAATGTCTCCCAACTTCATTCAGAGGCTCTGCGGTATATTTTAATAAAAAGTCCTCATTGATCACTTATATGGCACTGTTGAAATGTACAAAGCTCCCCTTTCATTTTCATCACCCACAGAATAATCCAACGAATTAGGCTATTTTCAGCGTTATTATAATGGTTATTCCCGAAGGTCGACTACAGGTTGCTTAAGATGAGCCAACTGGATCAAGCTAAAATCCTATCTAGTCCAGCCTTGCCATATGTCTTGGAATTCCCAGACATGCCCTGTTTTGGGGGTCCTACATGCCCATCCCGGGGCAGGATTTTATATTTTAAAGCAAATGTCCTGGTTTGGGCTTTTTTAAAGAAAAAATGTGCACAGGCAGGTAACTCTGGTTCATGCTCTGGCTCTGGCTACCCGGGCTCTGGCATAGGTGTCTAGGGCACAGCGACAGCAGAGGTGCTATCGGGCGATTGCCCTAAAAAAGCTCAACAGATTTCTGTGTCTGGATTTTTACCTCTTGAAATATGGCAACCCTAAGTCTAGCATCCTGCTTTCACACTGACCAATGAGATGTCTAGCCAGAAGCAAGACCTAAGCACACTCCTTACTTTTGGATCTTGTCAATTGATATTTAAAGCCTCAACACAATGGCTGTGCATGTTTATAGTATCTTTTAATAACAATAAAAAAACCCTCTTTGACCACTTTTGTGGCACTCTTCACTTGCCTAAAACTTTATTTTTTCTTTTAGTACGACTGTCATTGGGGAAACGGGTGGGGCTGTGGTCTAAACCACTGAGCCTCTCGGGCTTTTGATCAGGAGGTCGGTGGTTCGAATCCCCACGACGGGGTGAGCTCCCGTTGCTCGGTCCCAGCTTCTGCCAACCTAACAATTCGAAAACACGCCAGTGCAAGTAGATAAATAGGTACTGCTGTGGTGGGAAAGTAAATGGTGTTTCCGTGCGCTGCTCTGGTTTCGGTATTCCGTTGTGCCAGAAGCAGCTTAGTCATGCTGGCCACATGACCCGGAAAAACTGTCTGCCGAGTGGACAAACGCTGGCTCCCTCGGCCTGTAAAGCGAGATGAGCGCCGCAACCCCAGAGTCGTTTGCGACTGGACTTAACTGTCAGGGGCCCTTTACCTTTTTTTATGACTGTCATTAATATAACCATTAGGTAGATGGGAATAAAAATGGAGGATCAATCTTCCTTCCCAAAGATCCACTGTAAGGCCAAAGATGCAGGGTGGGGAGAGGGGAAACAGTGCCAAACTGGTTCTGCAGTACTGAAGCTGCTCCCACCAGCAATAATACAACACTCTTGGTTCCCATGACATGATCAGCCATAGTAAAATGCTGTCATGGACTGGTTTGAAGTTGAGGAATGGTGGGAGGAAGCAGCTCAGAGCTTGGGGATTGGTGGTGGGACAACACTGAGGGGTCAAAGGGAGAAGACTGGGAGGAGGTGTTGGAAGCTGAAGAGGTAACAAGGCTTAGTGACTCAGAGGAGCCTGTAGCAGAGAGAAGTCCAGAATCAGAGACAGGAGCTGAAGAAAGAAAGGAGGGAGACCACGAGGTAGGGATGAGTCTCTGGCTGGTGAAGAGGCATGGGTGTCTCGCCCACCTGCTGTGATGAGCTCCCCTCCCTGCTGGTCTCACATAACCAGGAGAGGCATGAAAAGGGCAGAGAAGAAGTTAGCTTCACCCAGGCGCAGTCTCAGATTGCTTGGGGGGTAACCCTGGTGAGGAGGGGACTTAGGCAGCTATGGGGAAACTCAGCAACTGCTTCATGGGGGCAAGACCTGCTGGAGATGAGTTGCTGTGCTCATTAGGTCTGACACTCCTCTACAGATTCTGTTTTTGCTAGTTAACTCCAACTTGCTCAGTGTGATTTACTGCTGGCTCACTCCAGTCAGATGCATTAACTCAAAAAAGGCTGGTGTTCTGCCAAAGACAGTGGACCTTTAAGATTCAGATGGACAACAAAGACCATCAAAATTGCTCTTTAATGGGTTTTATTAACAGGATGAGGAAAATAAAGAACGAAGCAAGAGGAGACAGACATTAATAAACATTAATAGAATTAAAACCTATCTATTAGAAATTAACGCATCTCTTAAAGGTAACAATTAATGCAATTAATTCTTAGAGAGCTATGCTCTACAAGGCTGCAAATGCTAGTCCCAGCCTATGCCTGGGCACTTCTGAAGGCATTCAAGGGGAAATCTTTGGAACACTGCACATAACTCCTTGTGATACAATGGTCTTCTGAATATGTCCCAATGCAGTTGCCATAAAACAAGTCCGATATATCCTGGAACAAAGGGTTGGAGCTGTGGGCCCTTCCAGATGCCTCTTTTTATTACACATCCATAACTGTTTGTGCTCAGGATGTTATGAGCAGGCGTTATGTGCAATCCATGGGTGTTCCTGGGGGGGGGCAGGGGGCAGCTGTGCCCTGAAATGAAGTCAATAAATAAAAATACTTATCTAACTGACCAATCAGGTCGCAGATAACTCAGTTCCCCCCTCCCCAAAAAAACCCCCATAAAGCCTGTCTATGCCCGTGGTGCAATCCCACTTTCAATACGGCTTGTAGCTGCAACAGTTCTGGGAGAAGTCACACTGCTTTATTCCCATTCAGTACAGATCCCATAACTTCCTGCTACTTTCCTGTAGCTTTTTAAAGCACAAATGTTTTGGGGTGGGTGTGGGTGTTTCCAAACAGTAATTTGAAGTTCTGGGGAAAATCAATGTCTTCTAGCAACTTTTAAAGTTTACTTATTGCTTGAGGATTTAAATACTGGAACAGCACTCCTCCAATGCCCTTTGCCCTTAAAGGGTTAAGCAGCTCTTTTCCTTCCATCCCTTCTCTGGTGCAAGTCAACTCCTCCTGAGGATGCTGTGCAAGGGAGGAGGAGGAGGGGAGACTTTGGGGCTTCCTTGCTCATTATAATGTGTATTTTCTCTCTCCCTAATGGTTCAGTCTGAGCTCTGGTCTTTCTGGGGCCCCATGACAGGAGAGCTGCTGAAAAGTGGGAAGAGACATTACGGCCCTTCTCTGTCATGTCATAATAAAATCATCTCTCCTGACCCCACAGGCCCCTTTTGAGCTAGAGAAATCATGCTAGTGTGCCCATGCAGGTGCACAGGTGCATGTAGGTACTCTTGAGGACAATGCTGAGCCAGAGGAGCCAAGGCGCTGGGCTGAATTAGGAAGGCCAACCAGGGTAAGAGCTGGCGAGGGAGCTCTCCTTCCCTCCCTCCGCCCCACTATCATCGATCCTTACGAAGCTGGCTCAAAATGCATGGCATTTCAACTCTCTGCATTCAGTTCCATTCTTCATCTGCTTCATCTCTTTCTGTACATAGCACAGAGGTGTCAAGCAGCCTTCCCTGGCATGGGGCCTTCCAGATGTTCCCATCAGCCCAGCTGACATGGCCAATAGTCAGGGAGGATGGGATTGTTACACTTATTCACAAGAGTTGTAGTCTTGAAACATCTGGAGGGCACCAGGTTGAGGACGGAAGTCTATGTGTTGAATGCTGTGGGTTTCTTTGCAAATCTAAACTAGGTCCACTCCTCCCTCCCTCTCCCAATCATCAGCCTGACGGATTTCTCTCCCTAACATCTTCCTCAAAGCCTTCCCTTTCCCACTGTTCCATTCTGCTTTAGTTCTCTGCCTCTCTCTCTCCATCTCTTTGCCTCTATCCGTCTACACAGTCTCCTCCTTTGCTTGGCTCCCCCTCACTTGGGTGTCTCCCACCGTCTTTGTCTTTTCTCTCTGCCCCTCTCCTTCTAGTCACACAGGGAAGGCTGTAGCTCAGTGGCAGAACATCTGCTCTGCATACAGGCGCAATCGCCAGGAAGGGCTTGGAGAGACCCATGCTTGCAACCTTGGGCAGCTGCTGCCATCAGTATAGACCAATGTCCTTCAAGCTTGGGTCCCCAGATGTTGTTGGGTTGCAAGCGCCACCATCAGCTAAGGTGGCTGGGGATGATGGGAGTTGAGGTCCAACAACATCTGGGGATGCAAGGTGGAAGAACATGGTACAATACTGAGATAGATGGCCTAACACTCTAATGTGGTGTAAGGCAGATTCCTATCTTCTTGCTCCATAGGCACACCTAAGATACCGCTGGCATCTTCCTCACTGTAGCCTCATGACTGCATGGACCTATCTATGGACTGCAGAATCATGGAATCTCTGAATTGTAGAGCTGGAAGGGACTCTGAGGATCATCTAGTAGTCCAATCTCCTGCAAGGCAGGAATATGCAGCTGCTCCATACAGGGATCAAACCTGCAACCTTGATATTATCAGCACCACACTCTAACCAACTGAGCTATCCAGGCTGACCTGAGAGTTCTATCCAGAGTTAGTCCAGTGAGAACTTCATTCGCCCAGGGTTGAGCCACCAGCTCCCTGAACAAAGGCTCTCCTAGCAGACCAAGAGACAAAACTATGGACCACTCCATGGAATAACGAGGACGACAGGAGGTTGGATGCAAGTGAGCTGTGCAGGAGCAAGCTGAAAGGCAAATTCGTGGAGCCTCTTTTTATTGGATAAAATACAGTTGGAAAAGAGGTAGTGAAACCACTCTGAACTTTTAACACATTCCATCTAAGCATATTTTAAACATTAGCTAATACACGTCAGCAGGTGCTTCCTGCAGATGTTGCAAAAGTGGATTGTGTCTGTGTTCCTTGTCATGCTTCAGCCAAACATTCTGTCTAGTAAACAGATCTTATGAAAGGACAAAAGATCAGGGGGGAAATCTTGTCTTCTAGCCAAGGGGCAGGAGTTCAAGGAGCGTGGGCACAAGGCTCCTTGGCACACTGTTGCATGCTGGGTGCGAGGTGTGCCTCAGCACAAGCGGAGCGTTGCCTCCACACTCTTGTGTGGACTGGATGGGCCATTGGCTTGACCTGGCAGGGCTCTTCTTCTTAAGTTCTTGTTAATTTTATTTATTGCAAGCGGCTTGGGTTTCCATGCTTCAATTGTCCCCCACCCAGACTATCTCGGAGATCTCAGAATGCAGTGCAGGCTAAAGGTAAAGGTAAAGGTACCCCTGCCTGTACGGGCCAGTCATGACCGACTCTAGAGTTGTGCGCTCATCTCGCTCAGGAGGCCGTGAGCCGGCGCCGTCCGAAGACACTTCCGGGTCACGTGGCCAGCGTGACAAAGCTGCTCTGGCGAGCCAGCACCAGCGCAGCACACGGAAACGCCGTTTACCTTCCCACTATAAAGCGGTACCTATTTATCTACTTGCACTTAAGAGTGCTTTCGAACTGCTAGGTGGGCAGGAGCTGGGACCAAACGATGGGAGCTCACCCCTCCGCGGGGATTCGAACTGCCGAACATACGATCGGCAAGTCTTAGGCACTGAGGTTTTACCCACAGCGCCACCCCTGTCGCAGTGCAGGCTACTCACATTTTAAAGAATTAAAATGATACCCGTAGCCCAAATGCAAAACTAAGCTGGACACAAGGGATCTGCTTCTCACTGAGACAGAGGTGAGGTAGTGTGAGGAACGTCTTGAGAAAGAAAGGGGCTGTGAATGATAGAATTAAAGAGATTAGCAGAGATGAAATATTATTCCATTCATGGGATATAGCACTTTTCGTGATATCCTGGTGTGTATTTTGCTGTGCTTTGCTTTCCTCCCTGAAGTTTCTTACCGTCCCCCTTTTGAGACATGTGCTCGGAAATGAATAGAAAAAACGTGTCAGAGGAAGGTAGCTTGAAAATGCAGGTGGGGAGCAGATTGAATATATTTATTACAGCTTTCTCCCTCATTTTTTAAAAACAGCTTTAGTGGTTCTGTTACTTGAGTCTGCAGCTAATGTGTAGTTAGGTCAATAATAATCTTTCAAGGTGTTTTTCCCCCTGTAAACTAAAAGGAACCCAAACTCTTAGATTTTCCTAGTCTAGAAGAGCTTCTTCTTTTTTTAAAAAAGGTTTTATTGTTAAAATAATTCAGCATTAATACACACATATTGCGAATATACAAGCATACAAACATACATTTCATACAATCCTTAAAAATATTCAAACATACCTACACTCAATCCCACAGATAATTCCTTTTCCCATCACCATCCACCACCCCTCACCCCACCTTTGTGTTAGACTTCCAGTCTACTCAACTGCAATTTCTTTCCACTTCTGTTACTTTCTTTCACACACCTTTAACCTAATTTCATGCTTCCTTTTCTATTACACATTGTTATCCATCTTATTTAGTATTTCAGTATTTAAGACGGAACTTGTTTATTCTAATAGGAGTTCTGATTTTTCAATATGGTTTTGCAAGTATCCTTTAAACACCTCCCAGTCCCTGTCTCTGTGGTATTATACCGACAAAAATAGAGTGGCTTGCCAAATTATTGGAGTACTACAATATATCCAAAACAATGGGAGAAATTGAAAGGATCTCGAAAAAGAAGATAGGGTCTAGAAGAGCTTCAGATCCAGTAACTTTCTAACGATGAATTTGTGATATCTTGACCCATTTGTGATATTAAGCCTCAATCTGGAAGCACCTGCAAGAACAAGGAGAGGGGCTGAGCTACCGATGCCTAAAAGAAACAGGGGAACAATAAAACGGCAACTAATGATCACAAAAAAACGAGTTGGCTTTGTAGGTCATCAGACCTCTAAATGAGGCTGGATGTTAAGGAAACCAATACAATAAAAGGTGGGGAAAGCATATCATCCAGTGCCATGAGAAGTGAAAATTTCGCCCCATTTCTTGTGACTGCTCAGTTCTGGGGTGGGGAAGACTTTTCACCCAAAGACATATTCCTTCTGGCAACCTTCTGAGGACCACTCATCAGTGGGAGGGGCCAAGGGCAAAAGTGGGTGGAACAGCAAATGTAAGCTTTGCTTTTCATATGTTAGGCTAGTTTCTACACACACACTACACACCCTACCCTCAAGCAAGAGACAGTAGCAGCATTCAAGGGCAGATTCCAGCCAGGGAGAAACACTTGGGGGGCAAAGCAGAGACAGTGGGGAGAAGTCTTAAGAGACCTGGAAGGCTGCCTTTCACTGCTGGGCATGAGGCTTCCCAACCCTGGTTTAGTTGGTCAGATGGGACTCAGCTTCAAATATAATGTTTTAAGTGTGTTTTAATTGCGTTATACAAATGTGACACTAGATGGTGATAGTGAGCTAATGGGAAATTCAATATATATTTTTAAATGTTTTGGGTTGTTTTTTTTTAAAAAAAGAGCATTTTCACAGCGTTTTTTATATATGTCTAGATTCAACCATGGTCTCATCTTACTCTTACCTCTGGATCCACACCGCCCCCCCCCCCCGGTAATGCACAAACATAGCTATCCTCAACTATGTATTATGCACTATAGCAGGGGTCAGCAAACTTTTTCAGTAGGAGGCCGGTCCTCTGTCCCTCAGAACTTGTGGGGGGTGGGACTATATGGGGGGGGGGTGAACAAAATCCTATGCCCCACAAATAACCCAGAAATGCATTTTAAATAAAAGGACACATTCTACTCATGTAAAAACACGGTGATTCCCGGACCATCCATGGGCCAGATTTAAAAGGCAATTGGGTCGGATCCAGCCCACGGGCCTTAGTTTGCCTAGCTATGCACTATAACATGGACTTGACTTCTGTAACCCTTGAGGATATAGTTCATCCCGTAGCTATGGTCTGGGTAGGAAAACCAGTCAGAAGAGCTAAAGAATCACCTCGGGGTCATGTGTGGGGTTTCTCCCCACACATTACTATAGCAAGGTGTGATGTATTAAAGCAGAGGAATCATTGGCCCTGCAGATGTTGCTGAACTAAAGCTCACATCACCCTTAACTATAGGCCATGCTTGCAGAGGCTAACAGGAGCTGTAGCTTGGCAACAGCTAGAGGACCACAGTTAAGCCATGTGGAAATAAGAATGTTTTCTTGTTGTATTCATGGTTTCTGGTTCATATTCATAGATTCAGCAGTTGTTTGACAGAGGTGGCACTTACTAGAGCTTGGACATGGAATATGGTAGGGTTGCCGTACGTTGAAATTTCCCAGACATACACAGAATCCTTCCATCAGAAGTAGTATCTGGGCAAAATGTTTGGAAAACACATGTCAGCAATTTTGTTTTTGCCGATTTCCCTTAAAAATAGCTCAAAAATGTCAAACAAAGCTCAACAACATTGCCAAAAACGCAACCCTAGAATAGAATGTGGAAATCTATTTTCTTTTCAAGTACAGTGGTACCTCGGGTTAAGTATTTAATTCGTTCTGGAGGTTCGTTCTTAACCTGAAACTGTTCTTAACCTGAAGCACCACTTTAGCTAATGGGGCCTCCCGCTGCTGCCACGCCACCGGAGCACGATTTCTGTTCTCATCCTGAAGCAAAGTTCTTAACCTGAAGCACTATTTCTGGGTTAGCGGAGTCTGTAACCTGAAGCGTATGTAACCTGAAGCGTATGTAACCTGAGGTACCACTGTATGGGAATCTTGGGTGATCATAGGCTTAGAACGATACCACTAATCTTCTTCCGTCAGCTGTTTATACTAGCTCAATTTTTAACTTGTGTTTCACTGTTTTCCTTGTTTTCCTTTTTCCAGATAATGTACAGGAAAGCAGTATGGGAAGAAGGTAACCACAGTTACCAAGGAGAATTCATTTTATTGGGAGTGGCTGACCGTCCACGCTTGGAGATGTTGCTCTTTGCAATTCTCCTGCCCTGCTACATGATGGCCCTGCTGGGCAACACAACCATCATTGTGGTGTCGCGGCTGGACCCCCATCTCCACACCCCCATGTATTTCTTCCTCAGCAACCTCTCCTTCCTTGATCTTTGCTTCACCACCAGTGTGGGCCCTCAGATGCTGTTAAACTTCTGGCGGAAAAGCAAGACCATCAGTTACGGTGCCTGTGTGGCCCAGCTCTACATCTTCCTTGCTCTGGGCTCCACAGAATGTATTCTTTTGGTTGTCATGGCCTACGACCGCTATGCTGCCATTTGCCACCCGCTGCGCTATGGTGCCCTTATGAGCCAATCCCTATGCTTCAAAATGGCTGCCGTCTCCTGGGTTAGTGGCCTTACCACCTCACTGGTGGAGACGGTGATGACTCTTCGCCTCCCGCGGTGTGGAGAAAACCGGGTGGATCACTTTTTCTGCGAGGTGCCAGCCTTAATCAAGTTGGCCTGTGTTGACACCTCTCTCAATGAGGCTGTGCTCTTTGCTTCCAGCGTAGTCTTCCTTGTAGTACCACTAGGCCTCATTATGGTCTCATACGGCTACATTGCAGTTGCCACACTGGCAATCCGCTCAGCTGAGGGCAAGCGAAAGGCTTTAAACACCTGTGCCTCCCATTTGATTGTGGTGTCCCTCTTTTTTGGGACAACCATTTTCACCTACCTCCAGCCCCCGTCCAACAGTGCCCATGACAAAGCCAAGATGGCCTCCCTTTTCTATACATTTGTTACCACTATGCTCAATCCACTCATTTATACCCTGAGGAACAAAGAGGTGCACAAAGCTCTAAGAAGACTGACGAAGAGAACTTAAGCCCAATGCCTCCCAACTTCATTCAGAGGCTCCACAATATATTTTAATAATAATAAAAACCCTTCAATAAAATCACTTCTATGACAGTAATCACTTACGCAAAGCTGCTTTTTTTGTCATCACCCACACAATAATCCAACAAATTAGCCTATAATGAGAATTATTAATGTGGCAGCAACAAGGAGGCATCGTAGAACAAACTAAAGCAGAATAAATCCGCCACTAACGCACAATTATTGTGTTGGGAACGTGTTGAAGAACAATAGAAAATAACTGGAAGGGCTCTGAGTAGCAGGATCAACACAAGTGGGAGGGAGTGAACTGTGCCGTATGCATTGCAAGGAGACAAGCAATGGAAGAGGGGGAAGGAACCCTGATGTGAATCATCTCCTAGCGCAATGGTTTTCAACCAGTGTGCCATGACACCCTGGGGTGTCTTGAATGATGGTCAGAGGTTCTGTGGGCAACATTGGCCTCTGTCTCTCTTTCCTTCACTCCCTCCTCTGATGCCCTCTCACTTCTCTGCCTCTCAAAGGCTTGCACAGCTGTTTATTGCAGCAGCCCTGGGTGCAAGCTACCCTGGCGAATGGTGCCTCTGGGAGGCGCCTCTCTTTGGTGGGGAGGGCAGCTCAGAAACCGGGGCAGCAGCAGCAGTTGTCCATAGGACTCCTAAAGAGAGGGGAGAGGAGAGGAGGCTGAGGGAGCCCTCCGCAAGGGAGGGTGTTTGAAAAAGGGTGAGAGGCTGCCAGTTCTGCAGGCAAGGGGTGACATAACTGGGCTGCTGAGCCCCACAGGGGTGTAGTAGTTGCTCAAGGGAGCAGGGAAGTCAAAAAGGTCAAAAACCTTTGTCCTAGTGAATTTTGTGACTGAGTGGTGACATGAACCCAGATGATCCCTTGGACCAAATCATGTTCTCTAACTGCTACACATCCCTGCGTTTCCAAGCAGCAATTTGGACTACTCTGAATATTAATAAGCAATAAAATAAATTTCTTCAAGCAACTTTCTAAGTGTCCACATTGCTTGTTGATTCAAAGATGGTGGAGGCATTCTTCCTCCCTTTTCCTTAAGGGGTGAAGTAGCCCTTTCCCTCCCATCCCTTCTCTGGTGCCAGGCACCCTCTCCTGAGGAAACTGTGAAGAGGAGGAGGAGGAGGAGGAGGAGGAGGACGGATCTCTGAGGCTTCCTTGCTCATTGCTGCAGTGTAAGATGTAGCTTTCCCCTAATTACTCAGTCTGAGCTCTGGTCCTTCTGGGACTTCATCGGAGAGCTGCTGAAAAGTGGGGAGGCAGCTTCGTACTCCTCCTTCAGGAAGGAATCATAAAATCAGCTCCCATGACCCCACCAGGCCCCTTTCGAGTTAGAGCAACCATGCTAGGGTGCCCATGTATATGTCCAGAGGTATGCAGATACTATGAGAGATGATGCTAAGCCAGAAGAGTCAAGGCTGAATGAGGCAGACTAACCAAGGCGTGCTCTGGTCCATGGGGTCACCAAGAGTCGGACACAACTAAACGACTAAACAACAACAACAAACGAAGGTAAGGATTGAGGGGGGAAATCCTTTCCTTCCCACCCCCATCCTTTACATTAAACATGATGTAGCCGATTCCAAACCTATGCCATTGTGTTCCGCTGCCTCCACCTGTCTCCTGTTCTGTCCCTTTACCCCCTCCCCTTGACACCCAAAAATGTTAATGCTCTTTCCACTTTTTAAAGACTTTTCGTTTATTCACTTTCAACCTCCATCTGCTTCAGCTCCTTCTGCACAGACAGAATAGAAAGGTGTAAAGCAGCCTTTCCCAGTGTGCTGCCCTCCCAGCGTTTTGAACAACTCCCCTCAACTCCTGCAAGCCTTCCCTTTCCAACCGCACCACTCCTCTTCCATGCTCTGCCTGCCATCTCCAGAAAGGGCTTGGCAAAAACATGCCTGCAGTCATGGACAGCTGCTGCCCGTCGGCATAGTTCTGAGATAGGTGGACTAATGCTCTAACTTTGTATAAGGCAGTTTCCTGTCTTCCTTGGTTCACATATCTCCTCAGGGTGTCTTCCTCACTGCAGCCTCGTGGCTACATTGGCCCATCTCTGGTCTACAGAACACCATCCACAGTCAGTCCTGTAAGAGTTTCAGGGGCCCAGGGTTGAGGAACCTGCTTCCCTATCAAAGACCCTCGTAGCAGACCAAGAGGCCAACCTATGGACGACTCCATGAGATTAATGGCTTATGCTAATTTTATTTATCGCAAACAGATTATGTCTTATTGTCCCCTGCCCAGAGATCTCAGAATGCCGTGCAGGGTATATGCATTTTAAATAAATAGAGATCATTTGCCAGTGTGCAAAACTGGCCTAGGCATAATGAGTGTGCTTCTTACGGAGACAGGGGTGAGTTAGTGTGAGGAGTGTCTACTTGAGAAATAAAGGGGCCATAAATTATAGAATGGATGAATGTGAAATGAAGAAAAGAACAGCTATAAAATGAAACAAAATGAAGAGCAGAGATTACATATTCAGTGTTCTCGATTCATGGGATGTACTGTAGCACTTTTCACAATACTTTGGTGAGTTATTTGATTTCTTGTCTCCCCCCCTCACCAAGTTTCTCACCCCCATATTTTTTAGGCATATGCCTGGAAATGAACAACAACACTTTATTGTATTTAGCTAAAAGCCATTACAATCCAATTATAGATCCAACAAATAGAATAAAAATAAAACCTGTTAAAAGAGATCCGGAATGTATATACAGTGGTACCTTGGTTTATGACCATAATCCGTTCCAGAGGTCCATTCGTAAACCAAAACAGTTCGTAACCCAAGGCATGTTTTCGCCAATGGGGCCTCCAAAAAAAGTTGTTCGTAATCCCCCCAAAATTGTTTGTAAACCAAAAAAAATTGTTTGTAATGCAAAAAAAAGTTCACAAACCGGGACGCGCACTTCTGAGTTTGACTTGGTCGTAATCCAAAATGGTTGTAAACTAGGCTATTTGCAAACCAAGGTACCACTGTATTTGCAATAAACCAAATCAATGAATCCCTGCACAGTCTACAGCAGTGTCTTTAATGAAAATAGCACAAATACTTTTAGCGGCTTTAGCAAATAAGGCTGTTTTATATGTGACAAGCGGATCACAGTCAGATAAGAGCCGGCATATTTTCACTTCAGGGGTCTGTCCCTGTAGCAGAGCCAGCAGCTGTACCAAAAATCTCTTTCTGGGGTTTTGATTAAGCTACAATGGAGTATATAATGGGGGAGATCTTCTACTTCACCTGACCCACAAATACAAAATCTTAGATGCCTTGGGACATTCCTATATCTTCCATCTAAGACTGAGGTGGGCATTGTTTGAAAATGGAGGGCTGTAAATGCTGTTCTCAGGGAGGCAAAGGTAAGAGCCTAGGGCTTGCCAATCAGAGGGTCGGCAGTTCGAATCCTTGCAACAGGGTGAGCTCCTGTTGCTCTGTCCCAGCTCCTGCCAACATAGCAATTTGAAAGCACGAAGTGCAAGTAGATAAATAGGTATGGCTCTGGCGGGAAGGTAAACGGCGTTTCAGTGTGCTGCTCTGGTTCGCCAGAAGCGGCTTAGTCATGCTGGCCACATGACCCGGAAGCTGTACGCTGGCTCCCTCGGCCAGTAAAGCGAGATGAGTGCCGCAACCCCAGAGTCAGCCACGACTGGACCTAACAGTCAGGGGTCACTTTACCTTTACCTATGGCTAGATTTTTTGACCAAACTGCGGGAGGCAGTGGAAGACAGGAGTGCCTGGTGTGCTCTGGTCCATGGGGTCACGAAGAGTCGGACACGACTAAACGACTAAACAACAACATGGCTAGATTTCAGAAAGTGGTACCAGTAGGAAATTTTTGAGATATGGGTTAAAGATAGGTCTTGCTCGTTATCCTGTTTATAAATCCAATAGCAGTCTTTTAATTCCAGGTAATACAAAGATATCTGTTGTCAGGTTTTTTGAGGCTAGGCGGTCTTGTACTATCTTAGCCCAGCCACACTTCTTCACTGTTCCTCCTGCCTGGAAAAGCCTCTGGAGAGAGGATTTTGAAGCTTCAGGTAGAACACTGATTGAGCGTCTTTATTGCAAAATGCTCCCTTCTGAAGTTTCCCTTTAAACAAACAAACAAAAGCACCTTTGTGTTTCTGTTACTTGAGTTTGCAGCTAATACATAGTCAGGTCATTAATAATCTCTTAAGCTTTCCTAAACTAAAAGGAACCCATTTCTTTTTAGATCTTTTTAGTAGGAAAAGCCTTCAGTGACGGATCATTTTAAGTTTCCATATTTTGTCTTCTTCTTTTTTTACCTCTTTGAAGTCTACGTTCTTTCTGAGATCTGGAAACCAGAATACTATTACACAATTTAAAATGTGGTTGATTGTATGTTCATATATTAGCATATGATCACGGGTAGTTTATTTCATTCTAATAGATTTTAACTGGGAATTTTTATTCTTTACTTTAACACAATACCTTGTCTTTTTCAGTAAGCTTTGTAATCTGACCCCAAGATGTCCAGTTCAGAGCCAAACAATATTTTACTATTTCTTTCCTTCCTTCCTTCCTTCCTTCCTTCCTTCCTTCCTTCCTTCCTCTATTTAAAACAGGTATGCCTAACTCAGAGTTTCTGGATTCCTGTCAGCAATGTACCTGCTTCATTTTGTACTAACTAAACTTCTCTGGTGCGTTTTAAGAAAGCACCATTTAGCACATATTTATTTCTTTATGAAATATATATATTTATATACTGCTGTTAGATATGTTTACAACAGTTACACATTAGACCAAACAATTAACACCATAAAAAAAATGAAACCAATGACATTGCACTAGTCCTACAACTTCCATCATCCTTGACTATTGGCCCTGCTTGCTGGCGGTTGTGGGAGTTGGAGTCGAATCATATCTGAAGGGCACCATGTTGGCTATCGCTGTGCTAGAAAAAGCTGGAGTAACCACATTAAAACATAGTAACAGCCCTGCTAGATCAGAGCAAATGCCTCCATCTAGGCAAGCAAGTAGCAAGAGGGACTCAGCTATACAGCTGCAAATAAAACGTTTTAAGGGTGTTGTAAAGTGCATTACGGACGCCGGTGGCGCTGGAGGGTTAAACCACAGAGCCTAGGACTTGCTGATCAGAAGGTTGGTGGTTCGAATCCCCGTGACGTGGTAAGCTCCCGTTGCTTGGTCCCTGTTCCTGCCAACCTAGCAGTTCAAAAGCACGTCAAAGTGAAAGATAAATAGGTACCGCTCCGGCGGGAAGGTAAACAGCGTTTCCGTGCGCTGCTCTGGTTCGCCAGAAGCGGCTTAGTCATGCTGGCCACATGACCCGGAAGCTGTACGCCGGCTCCCTCGGTCAATAAAGAGAGATGAGCGCCGCAACCCCAGAGTCGGCCACGACTGAACCTAATGGTCAGGGGTCCCTTTACCTTTACCTTTAAAGTGCATTATACAAATGCGACTCTAGATGGCGATGGTGAGCTATGGCAAATTCCATATATTTTTCAAAACTTTTTTTTAAAAAAAGCATTTTCGCAATGTTTTTTTATATGTGTCTAGTTTCCACCCAGTAGAGTTCAAGGGCACATCCCAGCCAAGTGAAAACAGTTAAGACAATGAAGAGCAGGGTACGTAGACCTAGCAGAAGACATACAGAACCTCTGGAGAGCTGCATGTCGGGTTGTTTTTCTCAAACATTGCTATAGCAAGGTGGGGTGAACTGAGCAGTAGCCTCTGCAAGCACCACCTTCCTAAATTGGTCCTTTGTGTAGAAACTGAACCAGAACATGTGGGATTCAAGATGTTTCTAAAAGACAACTCCCATCATCCCTTGCTATTCATTGGCTATGCTTTCAGGACTGATGGAGGCTGTGGTTCAGGAATGTCAGGAGGGCTAAAGGTTCCTCACCCCTGTACGAATCAAGTGTAGCATGTGTTCTTTCCTCATGTGTGTGATTCCTGGATTGTATTCATACTGTTATTGAGTCCTCGGTCTTAGAAATGTGTCACTATGGCTCTTGTGTCAGCTGCTCATACCAGTTTCCATTTTGAAATGGTCTTTTGTTACAGTTTTTGCATCTTATTCCAGATAATGTATGGGGGAGCAGTATGGGAAGAAGGTAACCACAGCTTCCAAACAGAATTTGTGTTATTGGGAATGGCTGACCGCCCACACTTGGAGATGTTTCTCTTTGGTCTTGTCCTGATCTGCTACACAATGACCCTGCTAGGCAACACGACCATCATTGTGGTGTCGTGGCTGGACCCCCACCTCCACACCCCCATGTATTTCTTCCTCACCAATCTCTCTGTCCTTGATCTTTGCTTCACCACCAGTGTGGGCCCTCACATGCTGGTGAACTTCTGGAGGAAAAGCAAGACCATCAGTTACGGTGCCTGCGTGGCCCAGCTCTACATCTTCCTTGCTCTGGGCTCCACAGAATGTATTCTTTTGGCTTTCATGGCCTACGACCGCTATGCTGCCATTTGCCACCCGCTGCGCTACAGTGCCATTATGAGCCAATCCCTATGCTTCAAAATGGCTGCCGTTTCCTGGATTAGTGGCTTTGCCACCTCAGTGGTGGAGACAGTGATGACTCTTCGCCTCCCGCGGTGTGGAGAAAACCGGGTGGATCACTTTTTCTGCGAGGTGCCAGCCTTAATCAAGTTGGCCTGTGTTGACACCTCTCTCAATGAGGCTGTGCTCTTTGCTTCCAGTGTAGTGTTCCTTGTAGCACCACTAGGCCTCATTATGGTCTCATACGGCTACATTGTAGTTGCTGCGCTGGCAATCCGCTCAGCGGAGGGCAGGCAAAAGGCCTTCAACACCTGTGCCTCCCACTTAATCGTGGTGTCCCTGTTTTATGGGACAGCCATTTTCAGTTACCTCCAGCCCCCGTCCAACTACTCCCGGGATCAGGGCAAGATGGTTTCCCTTTTCTATACATTTGTTGTCACCATGTTTAATCCACTAATCTATACGCTGAGGAACAAAGAGGTACACAAAGCTCTGAGAAGAGTAATGAAGCGGAATTAACACACCCGGCTTCATTAAGAGGTTCTGCTATTTTAATTTTTAAAAATAAAGATTCCTTGTCGATGACTTGCTTGGAGCTGTTTACAGTACAAAGCTTCCTATTTATTTTGTACCATCCATAGTTGAATCCAATGAATTAGGCTGGATTGCGTATTGCAATTAAAGTCCTTCTAGGAAGTTCTATGAGGCAAGCATATGTTTGTGGGAAGGCAACATGCAGGACTTGAGTTCAGCACTCCTCTACCCATGTGATTACCCCAAACCCAAAGATCTCCAAATTCTCAACTTGGCATTCCCAGCATTTATTGCCCCTGCTCACTAAGCCCTGTTACCTCTTCAGCTTCTGATACTTCCTCCTCCCAGTCTTCTCCTCTGTCCACTTATCATTGTCCCACCACCACTCCCTGGGACCCGATCCTTATTCTCTTGCTGGTTCCCCAGCTGGTTCACCACCACCATTTCTCTGCATCCAACCAGTTCATACCACATAGATTTCTCAGCTTTGATTATATCAAGCAGATCAACTCTAGCCCTGGTCACTAATAGTTGATAATAAATGGAGGGAAGATGGTCCCATCTGTGTTGTGCTTCCAAATCCATAATCTCTTTTCCCAACCCTTTCTCCACCCCCCCTTGTGTTTCTTCTTTCCCCCCTGCAACTACAATAATCCTATGTATCACTGCTTTGAAAGCACTCCACAATATACAGAGTTGTATCATCTACCGATCCACAATCAAGTCTGAAATATTCGTGTATTTCCTTCTGAATCTGTTGTCTAGCTTCTCTTTTATCCACTATAGTTGGGTCAAAATGACAAGTTATTTCTCCTCGGTGTAAATTCCATTCTGTCCATGGAGCATCAACAGAGGAATGATCCGAAACCAACTTGAGTTCAATTTTAGCTGCTACCTCTGCTTAACATAATCTGGGAGATATTAATATGAGGTTTTTCTTTGAATAGGAGTTGCAATTCACTGAGAGAGAAACTTAGGGTAGCTGGGTAAAGGAAGAACAAAACTGCTGGACTTTACATTAGGAGTATGCAGGGGGAGTACAGTGGTACCTCTGGTTGCGAACGGGATCTATTCCGGAGGCCTGTTTGCAACCTGAAAAGAACGCAACCCGCATCTGTGCATGCGTGGGTCATGATCCGCCACTTCTGCGCATGCGCGTGATGTCATTTTACGCGTCTGCGCATGCACGAGTGGTGAAACCCGGAAGTAACCCTTCCTGGTACTTCCAGGTCTCCGCGGGACGCAACCTAAAAACGCGCAACCTGAAGCAAACGTAACATGAGGTATGACTGTATATGGGAAAAGAGAGAAGAGAAAAGGAGGGGGAGGAATACTCTTCTACGTGCACCAAAACTAGGAGACAGAACACAGTTTAAAGCAAATTACAGCCCCAAGAAGGCTATCAATGGCTGCTGGCCATGACAGCTACGCTCTGGCTCAAAGTTCAGAGGCAGTAATGCTTCTGAATGCCATTTCCTGGAACTTGCAGGAGGTGGAGTGCTCTTGTGCTTGAGTCCCTGCTTGTGGGACATCTGGGTGGCCGCTGTGAGAACGGGATGCTGGACTAGATGTGTCATTGGCCTGATCCAGCAGGCTTCTTCTCATGTTCTCAGGGTGGGTCCTAAAACATCTCAAGTATCAAAGCAACCACATTATCACGTGGATGTTGCAAGATACACCTGCAAAAGGCCACCATTCTGGAAGGGCCCTAGATGCTCCTCACATACCAGTGTCAGGCTTCGGGGAATCGGATCTCTCCCCCAGTGGCAGTAAATAAGCAGATCAAATGAAAGGAGCGTTCTTACCAGTTAGTTTCTTTAATAATCACAGTGAGAGACAAAGGAATGCATCTCTCTCTAGAAATGGCATTGCTCCCAGTACAGGTTCACCCCCTCCGTCCTCCTTAATATACGTCACTCCTATGTCAGGTAATCTGAGCTTGTTGCAGCTGAGCTCTCTGTTCTATCACTCTCAACGCCTGTCTAGTTTTAGGCAAAGGGGTTGGGGCGGGTCAGGAATGCTTTCCAAGGACACTGAATCTGCCAGCTCTCTCTCCTGGTGTTTCCTCTTCTAGCTGTTCCTCACCCAGTATTTCCCAGCTTTCCCCCTCTGGACTGTGCCCCTCTGCAAACCACTGATCTAAATCAATACTGTCTTCCTGCCCTTGGGAAGGTTCCGGAGAAGGGGGTCGGCCCCCACCATTCCTCCTCAGTCCTGCCCCTGACAACCAGCAGTCATTTCATTCTGCCACATGGTGGCAACAGCCTCAGCTGAACCTCTGTAACTGGACTTGCAGTTCTCCTGGACTGGTGTTTTGATGGCACCTACACTTCAAAAAAAAGGGACGTGAGTGGCGCTGTGGGTTAAACCACAGAGCCTAGGACTTGCCGATCAGAAGGCTGGCGGTTCGAATCCCCGCAACGGGGTGAGCTCCCATTGCTTGGTCCCTGCTCCTGCCAACCTAGCAGTTCGAAAGCACATCAAAGTGCAAGTAGATAAATAGGTACCGCTCTGGTGGGAAGGTAAACGGCATTTCTGTTGGGATACTGCCAGGGAGATAAAGTCCATCATGGCCCCCAAGCCGGCTGCCGGACGATCTATCGATCTCCCGTAGGCACGCAGTATCAGCAATTAGTGACATGAGCTCCAGAAATAGCCTGCCACATTCTAGAGCCGATGCACACTCTCTATCAGCAGATAATTCACAGCAGAAGTTGCACGCAGGAGAGCATATTTACAAGTTTATTCAGCGTTGGTCAGAACAAAGAAAAACATGACTGCCTGCATCAGTGTCTCCAGACACAGAGAGAAAACGAAAGCAATAGGAAACATAAACATCCTGTGAACAGGAAATGCGCAGACTCTGTGACTCACAAAGCCTGCTCCCTTTTAAGGTGGAACGGAAATATCCTAACATCCTCCCCCTTTCCGTGTAACCTGTAGTACCTGTGGTTCAACCCAATTGCAACCTTTGTACGTAAACCTTAAGTTGTTCTCTGTTAACAACCTTAGACAACAGATCAGCAGGAATTTCATTTCCTGCCATGTAGGACACCTGAATGAGTCCTTTCTGAATACACTCTCTTGCACGATGTAGCTTAATCTGCAAGTACTTGGTTCTTTGCTTGCAACTCTCTGAGTTCAGCAAAGCCAAACAAGATCTATTGTCTTGATACACTTGTATAGGACATTTCACAGAAACTCTGATGTCCTTAAACAGTTGCATCAACCATTCACAATCCATGAGTGAAAATGACAGAGCATTGAGTTCTGCTTCACAGGAACTTAGGCTCACTGTCGTCTGCTTCTTGCACAGCCAGTCAAACAGACAGTGGTTGTACATGTAGCATACTCCAGAAGTGCTTGTACCATCCGTGGTGTCACTTCCAAAACTTGCATCTGCAAAGATTTCAAGACCTCCAGTCTTCTGACTGGTGAACCTCAGCCTGTAGTGCAAAGTCCCTTTCAAATAGCGGGCTATGCGCTTCAGAGCTTTCCAATCCTGAACAGTAGGATTGTTAGCATGTCTGCTAAGCAGGTTAGTGCTTACAGCTATGTCAGGTCTTGAGCATCTAGCAATGAAATTCAACTTGCCTAGAATGCATCTGTACAGCGTAGTGTCAGAAAACGCTTCAGCAGTACTATCTACCTGGTAACCTGTCACCATCGGTGTGTCTGCTGGGTTTGCATCAACCAAATTCAACCTGGTTAATACATCAGCAATTTTCTGTGTTTGGTGTACCAGAAAATTACCTGCTTGGTCCCTCTCCACCTGCAGAGAAAGATAGTTGGATACCTCACCAAGATCCTTCATGTCAAAGTGCTCCTTCAGCTGAGCTAGGGTGCTTTGGTAGAAAGCCTGATTCTTCCAAAACATCAGGAGATCATCAACAAAACATAAACAATACAGTTTGTTTTGCCCCTCCTCCTTGACAAACACACATGGATCAGCTTTGCCCTGGTGAAAACCTAGAGAAAGCAATGTCTCAGTGAGTTTTGTGTTCCAACACCTGGCACTCTGCTTGAGACCATATAAGGATTTCCGCAGTTTACAGACCATTCCCTTCTGTATCTGCATTCCATCAGGTGGAAGCATATACAGCTCCTCCCCCAAAATCCCATACAAAAAGTTGTATTAATGTCATGATGGGAAACATGCAGTTTCTCCTCTGCAGCTATCTTGAGCATCAGTCGAATGCTCTCATATTTGACGGTGGGTGAGTAGGTCTCGTGGTAATCCTGTCCTGGTACCTGTGAAAAACCTCTGGCAACCAATCTGGCTTTGTGTCTGACAACCTTGCCATTCTGGTCTGTCTTGGCCTTGAAGACCCATTTGCTGCCAACCAGTCTCATTCCTGGGACTACCGGTACCAGTTCCCAAGTTTGGTTCCTATTCAAGGAATCAACTTCAGCCTTCATGGCATTAAGCCAAGGCTCAGCATCTTTAGAGGTT